TTAAATGATAAACAACTTGTTAAATCTTTGTATTTTACATCAAGCCTTTGAATTAGTTCCTTTTATCTCTTGGTAAAAAAATATTAATGAAAGACTTACAAATCAAGTTTCTCGAAAATAGTATTTTGTACAAAGAAACTAAATAATTGGAAAGGTCACATGTTGAAGACAGACTTTGCTTCTTTGACTAGGTTGCTTGACCATGAGCAAATTTAAATTTGTTTACAATTTGTTAAAAAGAATTCTTTTTATTGATTTCTACTAATTCTTCATAAGACACAAAGAATTTCTTTGCCATCTATTTTTGCTTCTTCTACATTCAACTTCATTGTAACCAATGCATCCGATGTGAATTTGTGGATCACCTGGAATCATACCAAGTATGGATTTGATGAGATGAGACAATAATATGTTTAACTATTTATGCATATTAATGATATAATCACAAGCTACTGTTGAACAAAAATTTCAAGGTAGAAACAAATCTTAGCACATTGTTCAACACACTGCTTTTATCTTGGTTTTGAAGTAGTAACCTGTTTACTATAACAATAAATACTTCATTTACAGAAACGCTAAGTAGTACTTTAAAATTGTTTGCATAAATCCAACTTTTCAATCCCATTATAATTGTCTACACTATACAGTCAGTCAAATTGAGCAGGCAAACAGTTTAATAGTTATTTTTATTATACAACATATACCATAGTTCTCATTAATTTTGCATGGCACTGCATTCAATTTCAACACAACTCTGTTGTAAACGTTCCCTTCATCTTTTCAAAAAAAAACATGAACAAATTATGCCCCATTTTTGGGAGGTAAACTCAATTCAAATCAGGAGAGTTTAGCTTGATGCCTTGATCATGATACAAGATGGATGCAAAACTCGATAAAAAGTGACAGTTCGACACGTCTGGCGAGCGATTAAGTGAAGCAAAAACAAGACTGGACCAAAATAACTTTAAATTAAAACTTAGTAGTAGAAACACTCTTTAAGTATCGTGTTAAAAACAAAATAGTAAAACTAATACTGTGCTACTTACCGGAGTCGAGAAATGTTCCCTTTTCTGTCGCTATTTCAGCATCCACAAACCACAAAAGTTGGCAGTTTAATAAATAAAGTTTTAAAAAAGTGTTTATGTTAGAAAAATAAATAGTTTTGATATTTTCTATACTCGCAATCGTGGTGGTCAAATCAGGGTGGGCGACAAAAATTTTATTTCATGAGCCCGCGTCTTTCCGCTGACTTTGACCACCAAAATCCGCCATGTTTTTGACCACGCGGCCGCGCGCTAATAATTTATACTAATTTTGTTGACGTTTCCCCTCCAGTTATCATAGAACTCAATGGAACGAGTACCAAATTTGACCGTGTAAGGGAATGGCACGAGGAAGGTTGTTGTCGTATCGCTTCGTCAAAATTTTGCTTTAGTTGTAAACAACACTAGATCATGGTCAACTAACGTACGCGCCCACATATTATTCTTAATATGTCAGCGGTAAGTAACAATTGACGAATATTCATGTATATATAACCATTGGTAATTACCTATAAGCTGTGACAAACCACTAAAATATAGAACAACCATTGAGAATAACAAGTTTCATATGCGTATTTAACCGATATGCGGCTAAATGACGAGAAGAATTCTTTTTTCGATTTCAGGTTTGGACAGTTTTACTTTTTTACACATCTATTGTTTTGTATTCTTTGTATTTTACATATATTGTCATATGCTCAACGATTTTAAATCATCATAACGATACTCAAAGAAGCAATGAACAATATACAATGAACGTAATGCATGAGTCAATTCCAAGAGTTACCATCCCCCCCCCGGGAATATGGCCGGGCATTTGATTTTTTTCCTTTTAATAGTTCAATTTCCCCGCTGCCGGGGAAAGGCAAGAAGGCTAATATTCATCCCCCGGGCAAGCTGCCAATGGCAAATGCCCCGCTCCGGGACCAATTAATTTTAAATTACGAAAATTAGGAACACTTTTTAATACTTTATAAAACAAGATATATGAGAGATCCTATAAAAAATAAATGTAGTAAAAGAAATTCGTTCCTGAGTTACTTTCCCTTGCTCCGCTTTTCTATTGTTGCTTTTGCTTTTCCAGCACCTCTTTTCCTGTTCACAGTAGTTTACGTCAAGTGCTGAAGCCACAATTTAACATCCTTGGTTGACAGCCAACATTTATTGGCAAGCATGCTTATGTCAGTATCCTGTACACATTCACCACTGTGATTCTTGTGAAAGTCTGCCAGTATTTCAGACGGCGGCGGCTCCTTATAGCTTTGCCAACTGCATATAAATTTAGCAGCTCTGACACATCGGTGACATAATGCCCATAGCAAACTCCCGTGCATGTTTCGCAATCCTCCCCTCCCCAAGGTCTCTTTACATCAGCAGCTGGGTAAGGAAAAAAACTACACGACGGTCCGTCTGGATACCAGGAGATGGGAATCGGTACTTAATGTCACGATTAATAGAAATCAATAGTCGCGACTCGCGTACTCAAATGGTATCAAATCCCCGGGGGTATTATTGCCGGAGTAAATACCCGGCTCCCGAGCATCTCTTTTACGAGCAAATTCCTGAACCCCGAGAAAGGTCTCCAGGGCAAATGCCCAGGGGTATCCCGGGGGGGATGGTAACGCTTGGAATTGACTCATGCATAACAGTGGCGTATCCAGCCCGTTTTATTTAGCTCTGCTATACAATTATTTCTTTGTTCACTAACTGTAAAAACAACAGATTTCTAAAGAAATGTTTATTGATAATAATATCAAATTTACATACCACGACCAAATTATCTTCCGGGCTCGCCAAACAACTGTGTAAAATTTATAAGGTAAATTTATTATTTCTACATTTTCTAGACTGTATTAGTTATATGTCCCCAGTTAGTTGTAAAAATAAATACCATGTCCATGATTCACAAATAGAAAATGTTAATTTTGTTTAATATATTATTTACAGATATATACATACATGATATGTCAAGGGGCTTCAATTTGAGCAATTACAGTGTGCATGTGTGCAAGCAAAAGTGAAGCGATACATGATTATTTTTATGTTAGATGCTTACAATTACTATATTCTCACAGAATATAATTTTTTGAATGGCAGGTTTGCATTGCATTCTCAATGTGGGGAAACATCTCGATTTTTTGTTCTTCAAAGCATTTGACCAAATGCACTCGCATCTTCTCCTGCAGCCAGGTAACAGAGCAAGGGTTCACACCATTAGCCAAAGCAACAGCATTTGCCACAGCAAAAAGACCACAATCTGATGATCCTTTTTGATGTTGTTGGAGAATCACTTTGACGTTTAAAGAACCATCCTGCTCTTGAAGGTTTTTGTAAACATTCTGGAATTGCCTTTTTAATGATGAATTCAGGTTGGTATTCATAGATTCAAAGACTAGTATTTCACCACTTATGGATGTAGAAACCACCCAGTGGTGACCAATATTGTGACATTGAATTGCTTGGGTGATATTTTCAGGAATATTTATGAGTTTGTTACTGTATGTGACTGCTACGACTGTGTTCAGACCTCCCACTCCGGTACCAAGATCACCAATTAATTTCTGTGCTGCATCAATATGGTCATCTGAAAGCCATCCATTTTGATTTAGAAGCACGTCTTTCTGAGCATATGACAACTTTATTCCTTGAATATCTACCCAACACTCCTCAGAATTTTCAATTTTCTCATTGTTGTTCATTTTCATCTTTTTTGCTAGTTGCTCTTCAATTACTTGTAATTTGCGTTTCTCATGCTTCTCATCTTTTTCAAGCTTCTCTTCAAATACTTCAATCTTTTCACTTTTTAAATCAGCTGCTCTTCCCACTCGTTTACCTGGACACCTCTTGCATTTTCGTTTTGGCAAAGCAGATTGTGACCTACACTTTGAAATTTGTTTCTTTTTTGGAGATAGAGACTTGTTTTTCAATGAAATTCCATTTTCCTCAGGATGATTTTTTCTTGTGTATTGTATTACCTCTTGTAACATCTCCATGGTTTTGTCCAAAACTTTCTCATCATCCAAAATGTAAAGCTCATCCTGAATTTGTTTGAGTTTTTGAACACACTTATTTCTAACATTTTGGATTGAGTTGGAGCAATAATCTGTTGTGGTAAGAAAACAGTCAGAAGAATGAGCTTTTTCATAATTAGGACATTGCACAAAGTTTCCTGGCAGTGACTTGTGTTTGATATCAGTCTGAGTTGGGCTTATATTGGCTTTTGGTTGAATTATATGGGGATCTGAAGTAAATAGGGGATGATTGGAAAACTTCACTTCAATTGATTCCCACCCAACATTTGGTTGTTGAACAACAGCACAAATGTGTTTACAAGACATCTTCCGACTCCTGTAATCAAGACATTGCCAGGAAGGCATTTGGTCGTTTGATCCCAAAAAAACTTGATATGTGGATGATGAGCTTGTGACAGTGAAATGTTTTGTCTTTTCCATCTTGATGTTTTTACTTGGAATGTCAGATTCCATCCGTTGAATAATATCCAATTGATGTAATCCCCAAAATTCATCAAAGTATTTCTGCAGTTGCAGCGATTCTTTCCACAGATTGCTGTTTTTCAATGCATCAATGTTTTTCTGTAATGTGATTTGACTTGTGCTATTTGCAATATTTCGCAGCAGTTGTAATAGCTCATGTTTGTAAAGATACGTTACATTACTGCGCTTATTAATACATTCGTTCCACGCCTTCTCTCGATGAAAATTGCAAACATGAATGTGTATTTCTAACCCCCAAAAAACCCATTCATTAAGTAAGTAAGTTCGTCAAAAACATTTTCTTCAAAAAAGGCTATTGCTTTGTTTCGTCTTATTTGGAAAACACTGTTCGATTGCTCCAATTTCAGCTAATGAAAAATCAACCATTATGTTTTTAGGTTTCCACAGTGGATTCTCTTGACTGATGATGTTCAGGACTTCTGATATGGAATCCATGTCCTCATTTTGGGATATGAAGACAGCAACAACGATGTAACAAACATTTGATCGGACACATAAGAAAAACAACGGTAGTGCATACCTCAAAAGATGCGAATTGGAAAACTTTAAAACATTAACTTTCCAAGTGACAAGAAAATAAGGTATTTTGTATTACCTACATGTGCGATAAGTGGCATCCATTAAACACATTTCGTTCCCATAACGCAATAATAAGCGCTTCATCCAACAAGACTGATATACGAAAAGAAACTTCCTCTTTTCCAGACCATTTGCTTTCAAAAGCTAAAAAAAAAACAAGAGAATAAGTATATGTCAGCATAGTTTATTTGAAACAGAGGCATTCAAAGGAAAAATAGTTGTGAAACTGTTTATATCGTTTTTTAAACCCATGCAGGGTTAATATTTTCCATAATACCTTAACCTTTAAAAGTTCAACTTTGATGTTACCTGACAAAAATATAAAATCTTTTGGGAAAGCTTCACTCTATTCATCGCATTTTATTTGCAAATTTAATTGATCATCTTCTGCCTTTTTTTTTCCAATACGTGAAGTGTTTAATATGTTTCGTATATCATTATCTGTTGGATAATACCGTCGACTTAATTCAGATGGTGGTTCTTGCCCGCGAAACAATTCCGTTTTGACAAAATTTCTCAAATGACGTCGGACTTCTGCGACACTTCGAACACCCATAACATCCATTTCTCTTACTTTATTTACAATTTGAGGAAGGATTGGCTCGCGAAATTCTGCTTCCTAGAAAAAGTCACTATAGTTATTCAATTTCCTATTAGCAATTTTCTCACGCAAAATTGACATTATCAACCCACTTTAATTCTTTAGTAGAGAATGGAAATGGTATTGGTAGACAAAAAGTGTTAATAGCACTGTACCTCGCCGTGTGTTACATGAAACATATGACTGTTTACTCCAGGAAGTTTTAGCAGAAAGAGATCCATTACATTGATTTTCTTGCCAGCTGACAGATCATTTTTTAAAATAGAACTTGCCGTTCTCATTTTTCTGTCTGGTTTTCTTCCATCGCCACTTACTTCAACCTGGAATTGTCACAAAAATGGGCAAAATGACCTACTTATCTGAGAGAGCATTTGTTTTAGAGCTATACACCGCCTTACAATGCATATAACAATGCCTTCTTACCGCATACTCGGGAAATTTCAGAATTCTTAAAACTACCCCTTTGCTGGGACATCCTAGTTTTTTTGAAGACTGTAATAGCTTACGATGTTTCTGAAAGGTGTGATCATGATTCTGAAAATATTTTTTTATTTTACGTAAACAGAATTATTATCATGTTGCACTGTTGCACTAATATATGCATTAATTTTATAACTCTTTCATTTCTATAGCTCTCTGTCTATTTAGCTTTGTGTGTTCATCAATATCTTCACCTTGGTGACACTGATAATGCAGGCCACCGGCAGATATGAATGGCATTCCGTCGAAAGATAAAGAAACCCCGCAAGTTTTCGCAGTTGTGCTCCATCGAATTCTTTCAAATGAACCTTTCTCAGCGAGTATTTCGTCTGTAGTCTTGTCTATTAAACACTTACATCAGTTCATTCATGTCATCATTAAGTATTTGGTTCATACATGTCATCATTAAATAGTTGGTTCATACATGTCATCATTAAATAGTTGGTTCATACATGTCATCATTAAGTATTTGGTTCATACATGTTGTCATGCTTTAATATTTAAAATTTAAACAAAAGTTCTGCTTTAATATATATATATAATTTTGTGAAATTTCTTTCTTCACCACTGCACAATAACCAAAAAGTAGTATATCTCTGGACAAGCGTATGCTTTCTGCATTGAAGTTATTATATAATATATACCTATCAACTTATTTCTGTTTAGACAGCGCCACCCACTGCGAGTTCGTTTTTTGTAATCACCGAATACTTCCAGCATTTCTTCTTCGGAATTGCATATTACAATACCTTCGTCTAAACTGCTGTTGTTTTTTGCTTCACTCGCCGCATACTTCATTGGAAACTCCATTTTCGAACTAGCATTTGGCAACAATTTCATGATGATTTCCCGCGCTTTTTATGTTTAGATTCTCATAGAATATACGTATGGCAAGTTGCAATTTTACAATGTAGGAAAATATGAATTTTTTGTTGCTCGAAAAACATTTAGCCAAATGCCCTTTTATCTTCTCATATGACCATAAAATCAAGAAATGGTGCATTCAATGCTGATAGGGAGGTGGGTGCATGGAAATTGAGCATTCTTCATGAAATTATGGATGGTCATTGCAGAGCACAGAGCACCCCAACCTGACAAAGATTTTTAGTTTACAAAATTGATAAAGAAACTTGTTCATATTAAGTGGTAATATTATTTGCAAACACTATAACATCATGCAATGACTTTTTACAATTACATTTCACTATTTGAGAGAGTTCTAAGGCAAGTCACGTTCTACAGCACTGGGTCTATGCCACAAGCATAACAAAAGCAGGTGGGAGCCTTTTAAACTGTTCAAAAAATCCTTTGACAATGGAAGGAATTATATGCTCAAAGGTTTTTCTGAACAATCTGTTTTTCCATAATAGAATTTATTTTGGTGCTCAGAGATTCAATGTGAAAATTTTTGCCAGAGATGAATGTAGAGAATACCCAGTGTTACATGTTGAGATATATTGTTACCATTTCTTGTTGTAAAGTATTTTCAGGAACATATATGAATAAGCTACTGTGATTGATATCACAACTCAACATTTTATCTGGCTGCACCTGTACTATGATCACCAATCAATTTTTCGTGATAAATCAATATGCTCAATTGAAAACCATCCATTTCATTTAATGAGCACTTAAATTAGATTGTGGTTCACTGTGTGGATGGCACTGCTGGAGACAATGAGTTTTCAAAATTTACTGACAATAACTTTAACAAAGTTAAAAAAGTTACCACACCTGTGCATTAACTCAAATCAGAAAATTACAAGCAAGTATGGACAAATAGTCAAACACATTAAACACACAAACTTTATATTATTATGCAAGAAGTTTGGAAAAAAATTTGAAGATACGAATTTAGATGGGTGTGTTTATCATGTATGTTGTATCTATAATAATATTTTTATTAGTACTACAAATAACAGGAAAATATTTAATATCATATCTATAATACAAATAGAGTCCATTGCTACTTTATAACATTACATTGTTCTCCTTAAGTCCAGTAAATCTGCAATTTTTGATGTGCGGTTATTATATTGTAATCCATTACTTCTGCAAGGCAGACATTTCAAAGAAAGTACATTTGACCAAAATTGAATTGAAATCTTTGTTATCTTTTCTCGCTTTCTCTATTGCCAATTTGCCTTATTGCATATGCAAACGCAATATGTAGTGCGGTAAAATCATTCGTATAATGAACACATGAATATTCGTTAATTGTTACTTACCGCTGACATAATAAGAATAATATGTGGGCGCGTACGTTAGTTGACCATGATCTAGTGCCGACCCAGTGAACTCCATATAAATATATATATCTGGAATGATAACGACAATACATTTTATAGATAAAAAGTTGAAGACAAAGTCCTAGTCTTTTGCGCGGTTTGTACGTCAGTTCCAGTCCTTCAAAGTCGAATATTCACGCGGTTTGTACGTCAGTATCATTCCCCCGAGTGCCAAACATACAGGGCCAATATAAATTTGAATACAAATTGCGAAAGCATAAACATATAAACAACATCACTACAAACAACACACCAGGCTAACTCCTCGCAAAAGGCTATTTTTTACAGCTGAAACTTTACTACAGTGAGCTCGTTGTAACTTACAACTTGTAACGAGGAAAAGCCAACTGAAAATTACACTGTATGCTAAAAAGACAATACAATAGCAAATATGACGAGAAAATATTCAAGCATAAATTTTTCATTCGTCGGAAGGTAAATTTTCAAACGGTGTCAGGCAGTGTTTGATCTTTTTTTCCGAAGAAAAAAGAAACTTGAATATCCAGTTTCATAAAAAATATTGAGTCTATAACTCGCATTTTTACTTTTACAGAGCAATTGTATTTTTAGTCGATTTTGATAGTGCTTGAAATACTAAATGGTTGTCATCTCGATATCAAAAATTGAATATCCTTAAAGACTTTGCATGTCATTTTTTTGACTCTGAAGATGACTACCGCTAAGGTTGTCGAAACGTCAGTCAACAACAACAAAAACAGTCCTTCTCAGGACTATACCAACCTGGACGATCTACATTTACAAGCATGTAACGATACTCCCGGGTTCAAACCAAAGACTTTGATATGTTTTAAAGGAAAACCGCAGCGTAAGAGCAGATCGATCAAGTTCACCTCACCTTGCTTCTCGATTTATCACTTTGATTCACTTTCTGTGAACCTTTTCATTCCAAAAATTTCGTTATTTTTACGCTCTGGTCAAGATCCGAACTCTACCATTACCAAGGGACAAATAATTTAGAAAAATTAAAATGAACACGCGAGAGACTAGAGCCTGACGTGTGATGACGAATGATGACGACAAATATTTTTTTGGCTTCAATTTTTGGCTTCGGTTATCATTCCAGTTATTCAAATGTCGAGTTCACTGTGCCGACCATTGAGTTCTATAATAACTGGAGGGGAAACGTCAACAAAATTAGTATAAATTATTAGCGCGCGGCCGCGTGGTCAAAAACATGGCGGATTTTGGTGGTCAAAGTCAGCGGAGAGACGCGGGCTCATGAAATAAAATTTTTGTCGCCCACCCTGATTTGACCACCACGATTGCGAGTATAGAAAATATCAAAACTATTTATTTTCCTAACATAAACACTTTTTTAAAATTTTATTTATTAAACTGCCAACTTTTGTGGTTTGCGGATGCTGAAATAGCGACAGAAAAGGGAACATTTCTTGACTCCGGTAAGTAGCACAGTATTAGTTTTACCATTTTGTTTTTAACACGATACTTAAAGAGTGTTTCTACTACTAAGTTTTAATTTAAAGTTATTTTGGTCCAGTCTTGTTTGTTCTTCACTTAATCGCTCGCCAGACGTGGCGAAGCTGTCAATTTTTATCGAGTTTTGCATCCATCTTGTATCATGATCAAGGCATCAAGCTAAACTCTCCTGATTTGAATTGAGTTTACCTCCCAAAAATGGGGCATAATTTGTTCATGTTTTTTTTTTTGAAAAGATGAAGGGAAAGTTTACAACAGAGTTGTGTTGAAATTGAATGCAGTGCCATGCAAAATTAATGAGAACTATGGTATATGTTGTATAATAAAAATAACTTTTAAACTGTTTGCCTGCTCAATTTGACTGACTGTATGGTGTAGACAATTACAATGACATTGGAAAGTTGGATTTATGCAAACAATTTTAAAGTACCACTTAGCGTTTCTGTAAATGAAGTATTTATTGTTATAGTAAACAGGTTAATACTTCAAAACCAAGATGAAAGTAGTGTGTTGAACAATGTGCTAAGATTTGTTTCTACCTTGAAATTTTTGTTCAACAGTAGCTTATGATTATATCATTAATATGCATGAAAAATTAAACATATTATTGTCTCATCTCATTAAATCCATACTTGGTATGATTCCAGGTGATCCACAAATTCACATCGGATGCATTGTTTACAATGAAGTTGAATGTAGAAGAAGCAAAAATAGATGGCAAAGAAATTCTTTGTGTCTTATGAAGAATTAGTAGAAATCAATAAAAAGAATTCTCTAAACAAATTGTAAACAAATTTAAATTTGCTCGTGGTCAAGCAACCTAGTCAAAGAAGCAAAGTCTGTCTTCAACATGTGACCTTTCCAATTATTTAGTTTCTTTGTACAAAATACTATTTTCGAGAAACTTGATTTGTAAGTCTTTCATTAATATTTTTTTACCAAGAGATAAAAGGAACTAATTCAAAGGCTTGATGTAAAATACAAAGATTTAACAAGTTGTTTATCATTTAATTCCCAAATGTTAGTTTGTACATATAAATAATTAGTATTGGTAGCTGTAAGTGGTTTAAGCAAAACAGAAGAGTAGTAGTGCTCCAAGGGGTTAGCATTTTTGAAAAATTATATCTTGTTCATGACATATATTACACAATTCCAAAAAACTGTAAGTAATGCACAATAATATCTATAGAACTTGATAAATTTCTTTGAACACCTACACTGTCAAATAACTATTTTGCCTTCATGCAGCAATAGACAGTGTTTTTGTCAGAGAAACCAATGCACTTTAGTTTCCAAGTTTGTAATTTCAATGGAAAATTAATGTAGTTCTGTTCAGTAATAGATCCAAGATTCTGCCAAGCTGTTTACAAAATACAAATTACCAAGCAACAGTGTCATGGTGTTTTGAATTTTTTTCTTTTTTGTAGCTCTTCTAGTTCAACATACTTTCTTTATGAGTTTTCAGTAGATTTATCAGGTAATGACAATACACTTATGATACTTATCCATGGTAAACTTTCAGTTGACTTATGTCGTAGGACTGAAGCAAACATTTTCTCGCTTCCTTAGGGGCATTTTTACACAGATTTATCCATTTGAAGCAAGAAAAATAGGTGCACCAAACTGTTTACGAACAGTCAAACACACAAAAGCATGAAATAATGTATAAGTTTGACGAGATTGACAGGTCTGGTAAAGAATGCCGTTTGATTTTCACTTTTAAAAGGCTAAAATGTCATAAAATAACTTAAATGTTACATCCAAAATATGCGTTTCTCTACCATCGATTTTTATTTTGATGTGTGTCTGTACTGTGTTTTTCACGCAATGCTGAAGTATTATTTTCACATGATATGCTGTCGGTATCGTAATTGTTTTTTTCTCACTTGTTTTCGTTCATACAAACAGTATTAGAAATCAGGAGGGAGTGAATATTGAAAAAATGTTTAAAGTGGAAGTTTTGACCACCAAAATCCGCCATTACCGCCATGATTTTGACCACGGGGTCCAGGCCCTTTGCCCCTCCAGGTTTTATAGAGCTCAATGGTGCCGACCCAACGTGACATCAGTGAACTCCATATATATATATATATATGGAATGATAACGACAATACATTTTATAGATATAAAATTGAAGCCAAAGTCCTAGTCTCTTGCGCGGTTTGTACGTCAGTTCCAGTCCTTCAAAGTCGAATACTCACGCGGTTGTACGTCAGTTTCATTTTCCTGAGTGCCAAACACATACACGGCCAATATAAATTTCAATACAAATTGCAAAAGCATAAACATATAAACAACATCCACGACAAACAACACACGAGGCCAACTCTTCGCAAAAGGTTATTTTTACAGCTGAAACTTTACCACAGTGAGTTCGTTCTAACTCACAACTTGCAACGAAGAAAAGAAAACTGAAAATTACACTGTATGCTAAAAAGACAATACAATAAGAAAATATGACGAGAAAATATTCAAGCAAAAATTTTTCTTACATCGGAAGGTAATTTTTTAAACGGTGTCAGACAGTGTTTGTCTTTTTTTGTCATTTCAGTGGATTTAAAGATCTGTTTTTCCGAATAAAAAAGAAACTTGAATATCCAGTTTCATAAAAAGTATTGAGTCTATAACTCGCATTTTTACTTTTTACAGAGCGATTGTATTTTTCATCGATTTTGATAGTGCTTGAAATACTAAATGGTTGTCATCTCGATAACAATAATTGAATATCCTTAAAGACTTTGATATGTTTTAAAGGAAAACCGCAGCGTAAGAGCAGATCGACTAAGTCCACCTCATCTTGCTTCTCGATTTATCACTTTGATTCACTTTCCGTGAACCTTTTCATTCCAAAAATTTCGTTTTTTTTACGCTCTGATCAAGATCCGAACTCTACCATTACCAAGAGACAAATGATTCAAAAAAATTAAAATGAATACGCGAGAGACTAGAGCCTGACGTGTGATGACGAATGATGACAACAAATATTTTTTTTGGCTTCAATTTTTGGCTTCGGTTATCATTCCAGTTATTCAAATGTCGAGTTCACTGCGTGACATTCATGATAAATCCAAGATGGCGCGGGAACGGGCAAAAAACTTGGGGCTACTATTAGGCAATTGTTGTTTTTTGCAGTTTACTTCGTTTCCGTGTTTTCAAACTCCTCCAATCAAGTTTTATTGGAAACAAAGCGTTATTAATAATGTTTTGAAGCCATATTGGACAATTATTATTGGAATACGTGCGAAAATATCGCTTGCGAAGTGTTGTGTAAATTGGTCGTTTGGTTGTCTCGAGGCGTTTGTCTACCAAAATAGGCGGATTTCGTCTGCTTTACCTCCCATACTGGTTCGTCCACGTTGAAATACATCATATTGAATACATACAAAAAGATGGGAAAATTAATCTTCATATTTTTTACATAAATTTCACTTCAAGATGCTATTCGTTCTTTCAATCTTCAAATATGTGTTGACACTTAACAGACAGAGTCTTAATCGTTTCCAAAAAGGATGAGTTTTGTCAGCTTTTGCCGCTTAGATGGAGCTCCTTTACGAACTATTCTCTCGGAGCACACTTTGGAAAACTGGTGTACAAATATTTTACTGTACATGTATGCTATTTTTCTGATGAGGATGGTGATATGGTCATCACAAAACCACTATGGTCATCGCATGAACCAACTGAGCAGTATGATACAATTTTTTTCAGAAGTCATTAGTTGCATGTTAATAATGTGATGCAATTTAGACATTTGTAGTTATAAAATTGTATTGCCATTGGAAACAACTGGTATCATAGATGGTGTTGTAGCTATAGTATAATAAAAACATATACCATAACTAAGTATGATAAGCATAAAAGTCACATATATTTTATTCACAGCTATATCTTATAATAATCTCAGCCATAGCCAGCATTTTTATTTGGTCATGCTATCCCAATGTTGCTGTGTTCACTCACTGTAAAAACAATAGATTTCTAATGAAATAAGCAATCATGCAGTGAAATTTACATATCAAGTGTAAAACATTCATTTTGGATATGCCACAGATGAAATCCATATCAAATATTTCATAAGATAATATATAAATTTAATGAACACCTTAGCTCTGGTAAAAAAAATACTTCATACAGAGCTTTATAACTCTCTCAAAAAATAGTATTGTAACAGTATCTTGGGTTATGTGTTTGAATGTTATTATGTCAGATTTTGAAATAACCACTGGTAATATAACAAGCTTCTGAACATAAGTTCCTTCTCTTTCGTTGAACCACTTAGCTGTAAGATCTCATCAGTATAGCCAATGCTCCTGGATACAATTACTTGAGATGAGGTAAGTTTCCTTCAGTTAAGTTTACTAACTTTAATAGCTTCACTAAGATCTTGTCAGTAGATAATAGTGCTGCAGTGTTATGTATCTCCTTGCTCCTCTTTTCATTCATTCAAAGTCGGATGGCCTTTCTAAACCGTGTTTGAATCTCACATATCTCACATATCAGTACGAGTACAGTGGGAGTGCTTTCTCGAATAAGTCGCTTTTTTGTCAGAAATATTCAGATTGATTCCCCAATCTTTCTGTAAATTGTCAATATGACATATTCCAATGCGCAACAAATCAGTATGGGAGTTAAAGCTGAAAAAATCTGTTTTTCTTAGTGGACAAACGACGTAAGACAACCAAACGACCAATTTACACAATATTTCGAAAGCGATATTTTCACCCGTATTTCAATTATAACTGTCCAATATGGTTTCAAAACACTTGAAATAAAGATTTGTTTCCAATAAAACTTCATCGGAAGAGTTTGAAAACAATGAGAAGAAGTAAATTGCGAAAAACATCACTTGCCCTATAATGACTCTATGTTTTTTGCCCGGTTCCCACCATTGAGTTCTATAAGACCTGGAGGGGAAACGTCAACCAAATTACTATAAATTATCAGCGCGCGGCCGCGTGGTCAAAAACATGGCGGATTTTGGTTGTCAAAGTCAGCGGAAAGACGCGGGCTCATGAAATGAAATTTTTTCCGCCCACCCGGATTTGACAACCACAATTGCGATTATATAAAATATCAATGCCAAGCACAAAAACTTTAGAAATTTTATCTTTAAAACATGCTGCAAACTTGTTTGGTATACGGATGCTGAAGTAATACCAGAAAACTTTCTGAGAAAAGGAAACATTTCATGACACCGGTAAGCAACGTAAGATTGTTTACTATTTAAAGTGTTCAGTGTTTTGTTTTAAGTCAATACTTGAAGTGTGATGGCATATATTTTGTGAATGTTTTTACTCCTAAGTTATAATTTAAGTTGTGTTTATCCAGTCTTATTTGTTCTTTACTTAATCGATTGCTAGACGAGGCAAAGCAACCAGTTCTTATCAAGATATGCATATCTTAAAACTCCTTGTTTCAACTGAGTTGAAATGGAGGATTTTTTCATGATATTTTTCTGAAAATATGAAGCAAATATTAAGGACAGAGCTGTATTGAAATCAAATGCAGTGCAGGATTAATTAATGAGCTCTTTGGTGCATGTCGTACAATAAAAATTACCTGTATTAAACAGCTAGCCTGGACAATTTGACAGATTTGGACAAGCATGATGATGGTGTGTAAAGGTTTGCTTCATGCTAAAAGTTTTATAAATGCCATCTGGTGTTTCTGTAAATGAGTTGTTTGTTACACAGTGTAGTAAACAGGTTAGTACATCAAAATCAAGATAAAAACTACTTTGTTCAATAATGTGCCAAATTTTGCTCCTACCTTGAAATATTTGCTCAAGAAAAGCTTATCATGACATGCATGAAACGTTAAATACAGTACTGCATCATCTGACAAAATCCATACGTTTTCAATTCCAGGTGATTAAAAATTCACATAAGATGCATTGGTTGCAATGAAGTTGAATGTGGAAGAAGCAAAATTGATGGCAAAGAACTTTTATGTCTTTTGAAGAATTACGATATCATTTAAAAGAATAAGAGTAGCAATCTAGTAAAAGAAGCCACATCTGCCTTCAACATGAGACTTTTCCAATTATGTATAGTTACTTTGTACAAAATACTATTTTAGATAAACTTGATTTTTAAGTCATTCACTGATATTTTTACCAAAAGACAAAAAGAAAAGTTCAAAGGCATAATGTAAAATTCAAAAATTTGTCAAGTTGTTTGAACCTAGAAAAAATTAGTATAGGTAACTGTAATTTGTAAGGACACAAAAGAAAAGTAGTGCAAGAAGGTTAGCATTTTTGAGAATTAATAAGTTCTTGACATACATTACACAAGGCCATAATATTATAAATAATGTCTGTATAATAATTATACAACATGCTAAATATCTTCACCTACATTATAATTATTTAAACAGGTTTGCCTTCATGCAGCAATAAGAAAAGTGTTATGTCAGAGAAACCAATGCACTTTAATTCAAGAAATAGTATATTCAATGGGAAATTAACGTAGTTCTGTTCAGTAGTAGATCCATGGTTGTCAATAACAATCCAGTTTCTAATATCTTGGCTCAAAACAGAACCAGCTACATGATTAGAGAATTTCTGAATTTCGTTCTTTTGCTCTCCTAGTTCAAGATATTTTCCTCATAAGTTCTCAGTAGATTTATCAGAGTATCATAATACTTTATAAGACATCCAGAATCAATCCTACCAAAAAAAACTCAAAAAATTACATACCTACTAATAATATATTTCCAGTCGACTTAAGTCGTAGGGGTAAGCTAACTTTTTCTAACTCCTTTTTGGACGTTTTAACTAAGATTTACCCATCTATTCAAGAAAGACAGTTGCACCAAGCTGTTCACAAACAGTCAAAAACACAAGTAATGCGCATGGGATTATGCATTAAAGCTTAACAACACATTGACAGTGTAAAGATTGCCGTTTGATATTTATTTCTAATATAGCTAAAGCATTACTTGAAAAAATATACGTTATTTTACAGTAGATTTACCTCATTTAAATGTGTGTGTCTATTTCACAAAAACCTGAAGCATTATTTTCAATATTTTATGCTTACGGTATCGTGGTTGTTTTCGCTGGTTGTCATTACTATGAGCAGTAATAGAGATCCGTTTCAGGAGGGAGCGAATGTTAAAATTTTTCCTCAAAGTGGAAGTTTTGACAACCAAAATCCGCCATTACCGCCATGTTTTTGACCACGAGGCCCAGGCCCCTTTTCCCCTCCAGTTATTATAGAGCTCAATGGTTCCCACGCCATCTTAGATTTATCATGGATGTCACGCAATATGGCGGCTCGTCAGCAATCTAGTCCATTGAGTTCTATAATAACTAGAGCCAGAGCCCTCTATAGTATAAGAGTTGAGACAAACGGTCTGGGGCGAGCGCGGAGCCGCCATTTTGGTTCCTACTTGCAAAGTGAAACTATAATAATACTATAGTCACCACTGAAGTCACCACTGTGTGACTTCATAGCTCAGTGGTCAGAGCACTGCACCGGCACCGCAGAGGTCATGGGTTCGAATCCCGTTGAGTCACCTGATTTTTTCAGGTCCTGAGACGATTGCTTAAATTGTCCAGCTAAGTGCGAAGATCATATCTCATTTAATTTCAAAACACCGCACTGCATAAAACATTCACATGACATTCATTTCACGAGAAAACATCAGCCCAACAATATTGACCTGCTCACCACTGTGTGACTTCATAGCTCAGTGGTCAGAGCACTGCACCGGCACCGCAGAGGTCATGGGTTCGAATCCCGTTGAGTCACCTGATTTTTTCAGGTCCTGAGACGATTGCTTAAATTGTCCAGCTAAGTGCGAAGATCATATCTCATTTAATTTCAAAACACCGCACTGCATAAAACATTCATATAATAGTACTATTGGAAATTGGGTTTATATGCAAAAGAAGAAAGCAATTTAAGCTTATTCCATGGTAGTATAAAATATATTAGGAATAATAGCAAGCTCTTTGCGTTTCTTTAACGATTTGCGGCAGACCTGATTTAATTTCATTGGTTTGAGCTTCGTTTGCGGTTTACTAGTTCGTGCTTCAAATTGATCATGACCCATTGTAAGAAGTATTTTTCGTACGTGTTTTCTCGGCTTATGTTCCGACTCTGCAACAAGTTTTCAAGATCTTTAAGCTTGGTGGCAAGCGGCAATGTTATCCTGGCAATCAGTGTTATCAAATACTTGGACAAGACTTTGTTCGAAACTTTGAATCATAGTAATCATGCAGATTTGGTCCGGAGAGATTTGTGTTCAAGATTTGTAACAATTTAATGGTAGTGAGTGATTTATGCCCCCCCAATTTAATCCAAGCATGATATTTTTTATTCTGAAAAATCACAAAATTTTCTTGCTCAGCAGAAAATGACAGACTTTTTTACTTTTTAGTTATTGAAATATGCAATGATTTGACCAAGATGCATTTGACCTTAAACGTTTTATTCCTGTATATGAAGTTATTTCGCCTTTATCACTTTATAAAGTATTAATGTTTATTTCTAATAAAGTTTGTTAGGGATTCTGCTGAAAATTTTGGTGAAGCATTTCTTTAAAATGAATATATTATTTCAATAATATGAAACATTTCTGTTGTTGAAGAACAGTCTGTTTGCTATAAATGCTACTGTTTGTAGTCTTTTATACAGCATATGAGTCTGATCCAATCTTTAATTTAGCAAAGAGTTAAATTTATTGGTTGAGGAATGACAAAACTTCTATATGTGTTTAATGATCAAACAGGGGTGTGTTGGAGTGAGCTCAGCTCCGTTTGTTCAAATTCTATGCCTTGTATTGCCAGTGAAATATATATATCAAAAAGCTAGCAGCACCATATATATCAGAAAGCCGGCAATATTTTAATATATATGAGAAAGGCAGCAACAGTTGTAATATACATTAAAAAGCCCAAATAGCTGAAATTATGGAGATATGCCTCTGTGATCTTATAAACCAAAACCTACAATTAAAATATCATCAACAAGTCTAGAAGAGAAGTAATGTTCTACTTTGAGCTACAGAAGTAGGGTACATTTGTACAATTCAATACCAAAAATATATTGTACTCAGCTGTTTCATTGAATATCCTAATTATAATTACTTCATTTTTAAATGATGAACTAAAAATACAAAATACAACATGGAAAATCATAAGAGTTTCTGTGATTTGGTGTAGTTGTTTTAGTATGGAAGTGGCTGAGAATTGAGAGGTTTGTAGATTGACCAATTTCAGAACATAATGAGAAATCATCTTCGATTAAAAAACAAGCTTTGGAGTAAGAAAACTATTGAAACTGCATCAGCACGAACTTTGCAATGTTATTTGGCCCAAAAATGTTTCTCTACTTGAGTCAGTTAATTGAACCTTATATCAAAAGCAGTTCAGCACAACAATCACCATACGCAATCAAATTTCGTAAGTTCGACGTAAAGGCATTTCTTTCATTTTTTTCGTAATCCTCGATTTATGCGATATGTAATGACATTTAGTAGCCTTCAACAATCAGTTATTACACACTTATCCATAAAAAAACGCAATATTATCTCAAAATACTGTATTACTAGCAGCAATTGCTATATAAACACAAGCTAAAATTTCAAAACTAGGAACCAAAATGGCGGAAATCGATCAGGTGATCAATATTGCCCAATCAACGTAAGCTAAACGGATAACAATAGATGTCCCAACTCTTATACTATAGAGGGCTCTGACTAGAGTGGCTAACGTTAGTATGGATATCGTTAGTTCCATATTCTGCGACGATTCTTTTTTGGCATTTCTTTTATAATGCCAACACTTCAAGTCTTCAATCGTTCAATTGTTGGATGTCGTAGTTTCCACAAAAAGGAACATATCGCTTCTCACAGGTGAGGTAGTTGTTTGTTTTGTTAGTCCGTCAACGATTGAAAAGCAATTATACATGCACTTGAAAAGCCATAAAATTCATATTAAAGATCGTATTTTTTAAGACTGACTTGAACGCCAAATATACTGATGTTTTCCTGTTTTTGTTTATAAAATTCTGCATACTTTTCTGTCATTTGTTAATGCATGAAATCGTAAATTTACCCATTTATTTGCAAAATAGTTTCCCTAAAGCAAAAAAGACCCTGCACACATTTTGCTCTGTGAGTAAGTATCAAAAAGAAATGATCAGCCCCAACGGTACCCATGATTTGGAGCAGAGCTTGTTATGTTCCATTTGCTGACAACATGCAGGGAAGATCAAGGAGTAAAGATGACTGGAAGATGTTATTGACCAGGCAGAGTCTTAAAAAATGATAATGCTGTAAAGATAATTGATTTATTGTCTGCCCTATCCAGAGTTATTTAATTTGATCGTGGTCAAATTCTATGGATGGAGACAATGGATTCACTAAGGATGCCTTGAATGCTTTGAAGTTAAAGTTCATGAACCAAAGAAAGATGGCAAGAAGATTGTGTGTGTTTTGATGCTTAATGAAATGTCAATTCACAAACATGTAAAATGGAAGGCCATAAAGTTTGTGTCTATGTAAACATTTGTACTGAGATTGATGATGAGTCGATGCAGATGTGAAGCTTCAAACTGTATAAGCCATTGGGTTTTATGTAACTTAATGTTTAAATGATGTCATATCTTTATCAAAATATTTTAGTTGAGTGTTGTTTGAATGTTACTAATATCTAATGCACTATACTGAAGCATTAAAGATTCAGTGATGAAACCTTTAAATTTACTGTACTGTATATTTCTTATATATTTCTTATATTTCTTTAAGAAAAATTTGAGCTTATTTACCTATTAGAGTACAGAATGGAGATTTATCATATGCATTATTGCTGCTTTTTTAAAGAAAAGTTTTTCACTTTTCAAAGCTTTTCTACAAATTTTTTGCTTCTTATTTCTTATCATGAGATTGATGATATAGAGGTAATATAATCCAATAACTTTCTAATTTCTAAAAAGCTTTTAAGCTTCTAGCATAAGAGTACACTATAGGTATGTAATTCATTTGGTTTTATTGCCTTGCTATGACATATCTACTTGCACTTCATCATTCTTGTATGAACAAAACACCAGATGTGGATACTCAAAGAACAAAATGCACTACCAACTGCTTATGAAATTTATTATTGAGGTGAAAACTGTGTTAATCATTCAAATTATAGTGCACTTACATTGCAAATATAGGAAAAACAAAACAAAGTGAAAAAGAAAGGTAGAAGTATTAAAACTACAAATGAATTATAAACACCATTGGAAGCATAAGTGTTTTGATGATTATTTGCATTTTGCCCAATTCATATATCAATACAACAAAATCAAAATGTGCTACAACTTTACAAGTATTTGATGCAGTTGCACTTCAGAACATCACAAAAAGGTTACTTAAAGTAATTTCTATACAATATTGTTTGTTTCCATTTACCAAACCTATGCAGACTTGAGTCTTTGAAATTTCACATGAAACTCAATTACAGAAAATCCGTAAATATCCAGAGATTTAACATGTACTTTTTTAAAGAAAAAGTAAAAATCCTACAATTGTGGCGAAAAAAGCCATTGCCCATTGCATGAAAAGAAGCAAAATAGCAATGATAACAAATAAGCTAACTTCTCTCTCGTGAACCGTGGAAATGAACTATGATATACTTTTTTGTATAGACTAAAGAGTTTAATCGATCAAACAAGTTTGACGCTGGTAAGAAAACGACGCACATCTGCATTCATACATGTGTAGCCGACATATAGGTCTTTCGTCGACAGTTATACATGCATCCTCGTAGGAGCAGATAACTGACAACCACAGTTGTCTCGCTGTTATGAATTTAAGGTTTTTACCTTGATTTTCATCAAAAAATTGCTTGCCGAATCCCAAATACACACATACATTTTCCTCACTCTTTCCTCAGGAGGGAGTGGGAAATTGTGAAATTTTCGGAAAAGCGGTCAATTTCGGTAAATCTCAGCGGCAAAGGACGAAATCCGCCATTTTTTTGGCATCATCAGATATCTAAGGCCGTGCTTGAGATATCCGCTCCAGTTATTATAGAACTCAATGATCTAGTCCTATTATATCTATGTGTATTTGTAAGAGTTGGGACCACTGATCTCGAAAACACTGGATCAAGCAACGCTATATTTGTAGTAAACAAATTTTGAAGCCACCGTCGCCGTTACTAAGGGACTAACCAGTGCTGTAGAAGAGGGGGGCGCTTGGGAGAAGACCCCCTTCTTCATGTTCTGGGGGGCTGAGCCCCTCTTCAAGCTCTGAACACCACAATGGAAGCTGATAAAAGAAGCAGAGCTCACACCTTTACAATTTTTTGTCAAGTAAAATCGTGGTGATGTTACTCAAGACCAACACAAAAGTCGAGAAGTCAAATCATAGACTGGCCTGGCATTGTAATTTATTCATAAACAATAATGTTATATTGATATAGACTATGACTTGAGTTAAGACAAAAGTTTCCCTTTTTTTACAAATATTTAAAGTTTTTTAACGAATTTTCTTTTTTAGTATTAGTGTTGTGCAGCATATGCGTTTTTTTTAATCTGTATACTGTTTTACCTTTTTGAGTTTAAGACGAATTTTGGACATAAGTCTACTCAACTCAGGGAAGATAAGAGATGATTAAATTGGTTCAGATTATAACCCGACGTTTTATTAGTTGATAATGAAAAAATAAGCTGTTGTAGAATGAAATTGATCTAGTAGTAGTAGAGTAATAGTATTTAATATACAAATATCCATAATGTTTTATTGTTATCGTTGCTGTTTGGAAAATGATAATCATTTCTAAATCATAAGTTATGTAGCAGACTCATTTTCTCGCAGAGTTTCAACTTTTTATGTAATGAGCTCTGTCAAGCATAATGTAGTATGACTGAGCGTAAGTCTATTTCAAACATTTAGCAAAGTAGTGGTCGTTACTTGTTAGACTTAAGGGTTAATGATCTGCCATCTATGAGTCATTTTAGTTAAACGTTGTGAACATCCATGATAATGTCATACGACGACGTCACGCATTTTTCATAATTTCATGACATCAGCTTCGTCAAGAGAGCCCCCCATCTGATAAATTTAGCTCTACAGCACTGGGACCAACGCATCAAAAGATTTTTTAACAAAACTATGGTAAATATAACAGCACATTGCCAAATTATGCTTTAAGATAACGCAGATGACAACCTTTGTGGCGATAGTAAAGCGAGTCCGAAAGAATAATCGGCCGTATAAAAAAACGCATACAGGTTTCACTCCGAATCACTTTTAAAAAAGGTTTGTAATTTTAAAGGATTGATCAGTTTATGATTGTAAATGAGGTTTTTTAATCAGTTTGTACTCCTGAACTACGATTACAACAATTTTAGGTATTTCCATGCAGTTGTGGGCTATTTTCTATAGTTTTTCTACACCACAGTAGGGTTATCGATGGGAAAAATCGCTGAATTTTGATCATATTTCATCATAATTCATCCTATTTTTAGCTTATCTATAAAATGATTTATTTCTTAGTTATGTTCATGTAGTAACATGTTAAAAAAAAGTGATTAGTTTTTAAAATAATTTAAAGTGAAACGGATTCAAAATTAAATTCAAACTAAAATAAATTTACTTATGGCCGAACACTGTCACACGAAATATACAAATATAAATAAATTCAACACATACTCTACGAAAATGGCGAGCAATTTAGCGTCACAAATAGAAGAAAATCTGAAAAACGATATGACTCTGTATGTTCGTCAGGAATTGAAACAGAATGAAATTATTGATTTCTTAAATCGTGACTTTCCAAATTATAAATGGGGCATACGCACACTCGAACACTCGATCTTCGACTTAGATATTTCGAGATATACAACAATAACGGCAAGAACTCAATGGACGCTGTGAGAGGCTGTTAAGAAGGTGCTGAGTGGTCTGGGAAAGCTGCTTCGATATAGAGACATGCACAGAAAGATTCGACAAGAGTATAATTTGTTTTTTACGAGAGATGCAGTACATAATTTAATGTTATATGTTTGTAATTGATGATCGTCCAGGTTAATAAAGTCCTGAGAAGGACTGTTTTTGTTGTTGTAGACTGACGTTTCAACAACCTTAGCGGTAGTCATCTTCAGAGTCATTTGACTCTGAAGATGACTACCGCTAAGGTTGTCGAAACGTCAGTCTACAACAACAAAAACAGTCCTTCTCAGGACTTTATTAACCTGGCCGATCATCAATTACAAACATATAACGATACTCCCGGGTTCAAACCATTTACTTTATAATTTAATGTACGAGTTGGATGAAATCGTAAAATCCTGTGGCTTCGCATCTGGGTTACAAATTCAAATTCAAATCTCATTGGTAGATGGTATTTAGAATATCTTATGGAAACCCATGTCATTGCCAATATGATCAGGCTTGACAAAGGAACTGAAACAGGGGTGATGGCTACTATGCATGCTAGTGATGGGAGAATACCGATTACTTGGTATCGATACCGCCCGATGCCAAGCCTAATCCGGAAGTAGTCGATACTTCGTGGTATCGAAAAAGGACTTCGATACTTTTAAAATTTCATTATTATGTAAGTTTGTCTTTTCATTATTGGTTTTGACAAACATGTTGTTTTTTTAATGTGTTATTATTTTAATATTTTATTCACTTTTACTAATAAATACACTTCGAGATCTCGCCTTCAGAATAATAACATGTAACCAATTTTTTCAATTCGAATTTATACAGCTTCTGAAAACTTATCGTTACTCCTAATAATGTTATGACAGTTTGTAATTTAAGACAAGAAAAATAAAAATTTCGTCGTATTGTTGAAGTATATAAGGCCACACTTTGGCAATTCCATTATCAGATTTTTATCAAGTGACTCAGACTTTTATTTTCGAAATTGGAGAAAGTAATCGCTTTAGTAATCGATACCTCGATACTTTTAAGAAAAAGTTATCGGTATCGTATGGAATCGATACTAGCGGTATCGCCCATCACTAGTAATTTTCTAAAGCATGATAGAAACTAAACTACAATCAGATGGAATTCATGGAAATCTTTTACAAATTCATATATTGACATGAATGCTGCTGTCCAAACTGTGAATTGTTTGAAGAAGGTCAAAAATTCATGGATGAATTGTAAATGCTTGGCAAAGACGATCTCGCGAGCGACATTTCAATCATTGATGTTCAAAAGCAAGCCAACATTGTTTTGAGTTTTATCAGCAAAAATTTATATCCAAAATCGTAAGTAAAGGACAACTGAAGTGTATGCATGAATGTAAAATATCAAAGTCAATTTATGCGAGTATGTGATGCGATTTATGTCAATATGGCGTATGGTAAGCAGATTGATGCTTCTAAAATTGTTGTTGCCGAAGGACTTTTAGCTATGATTTCTTTAGTGCTAAGGATATCGTGGCCGTTATATGGCAGCGAAATCCTACATTCCTGCAAATATATTTCAATGGACAAAAAATCTGTAGCCATAAGGCGCCATACTATTATTTATTTTATCATAAACAAATGTTTGGCGCTTTTCAGTTTATGATTATTGATCATTCAATCATTGGACAGCTATACTACACATTGTTTAAGATTTGAGAAAACTAACATTGATTACACGAGAAGCTGTTTACTATAACCTGTGATTTTGATTCTTTTCTGATCCATGAAGTTTTTTATTTTGACAATTTGACTGGAATGGTATTAAACCTGAGTATTTCACATACATGAAATGTTGTCCCATGTCACATATTGTCCCCTTTTCTAACTGAACACCTCATGTTGACATGTCAAGGTGAGTTGATCTACGGCTCATACCAGATTGTTTGCCATAAATTCCAAAGGGCTATTGATATGTATGAAAAGCATTTTCTATAAAATAAAAATGTCTTTCTATGTATGCAAATAAAATTTGGCAAAACAGCGAAGTATTTTTCCTGATCACTAGGTCATTTTTCTGATGATCATTATAATTTCTAAGCTAAATTATTTCAAATTTACATTTAAACGAGCTTTGATCATATGAAAAGATATCATAACCAGTAAGCATGACACATGAACCAATTTTAACATTCATGTAATTATATGATTGAAGGCATGTTGGTTAAATTCTGTTTGTATTGGCAAAGACAATGCTACTGGTGATTGCTATATAGCACACCTTGCATATACTTACAGAAGATAATAGTCTAGTGAAATGCCTAATAAACATTAATGGCATTAAGCTGTCCTTAATTGCAAATTTTCACTTTGATAATTTTTGCTTAATCTTTGGCAAAAAAAATTTTTGAGTTTTTTCTGAAAAGGTGAATTTGATGGCACTGTTTGGGGAGATGAGTAAAGGGTTACAATAAACTTGCATGGTTTGAAGTCTGAGTTTTTCTACATCTATGAACTGTCCCTTGTAGTACCAAATTTCTAACTTAACTCATTACATAGCGGTTTGAATGGGGGTCTCTAGGGGGTCTATGCCTGACAACTTGGTAGAAATTTTTAAAGACAATATCTTTTTTGGAATAGCATTATTGTAAATTGAATTTTATGCTCCTAGACATTCTAATGAGCCATATATTTGGCATGATAATGAGCCTAAATATTCGGCAAAACATTCAAGTATTGTTCACTTCAGGTATTTTTTGAAAAAAACGTAAGCAAAATATTTTGTATTTACGCAAAAACGATACCCACAAAATGCATTTTGTATTGCTCTAAAACGCTGAAAATGGCATTTCCAAGTCTCTGAAATTCAAAATTTCTCAAGGGAGAATGCCTCAGACCCCCCCCCAGGTGCGGAGCGCCTCCGACGTTTCATGACTGATGTTTGAAATATCCTAGATCCGCCCATTGAGTTCTATAATAACTGGAGCGGCTATCTCAAGCGCGGCCTTAGATATCTGATGACGCCAAAAAAATGGCGGATTTCGTCCGTTGCCGCTGAGATTTACCGAAATTATCCGCTTTTCCGAAAATTTCACAATTTCCCACTCCCTCCTGAGGAAAGAGTGAAGAAAATGTATGTGTGTATTTGGGATTTGGCAAGCAATTTTTTGATGAAAATCACGATAAAAACCTACAATTCCTAACAGCGAGTCAACCTAGCTTTCCAGTTATCGGCTTCTACGAGGATGTATTTATAACTATCGACGAAAGAGCTATATGTCGGCTACACATCTATGAATGCAGATATGCGTCGTTTTCTTACCAGCGTCAAACTTGTTTGATCGATTGAACTCTTTAGTCTATACAAAAAAGTATATCATAGCTCATCTCCACAGTGGTTCACGGGAGAGAATTTAGCTTATTTGTTATCATTGCTATTTTGCTTCTTTTCGTGGAAAGGCAATGGCTTTTTTCGCCACAATTGTAGGATTTTTACTTGTTTCTTTAAAAAGTAAATATTAAATCTCTGGATATTTGCGGATTTTCTGTAATTGAGTTTCATATTAAATTTCAAAAAGACTCAAGTCTGCATAGGTTTGTTAAATGAAAACAAACAATTTCGTAAAAGCACTATTGTCAATACACATTTAATATAAACGACAACTTTTTTGAAAATAGACATGTTTCGACATCTCATGATGCCATCTTCAGTATGAATGAAATAATAGGTGATACAGGGTTTATATAAAAGTAATATGATACATAAATTAGAACAATAAAAAGGAAATAAGATAATATAATAAGGAGCGTCCGAGCGTATTATAAACTAAATATTGTATTGAATTTAAAAACTTGAACATTGAGGTCAGGGTTAGTTTTGTTAATGTGGAGTGCTTCTTTGATTTTAAGGGTGAATGAGGTGTCGGCAGTGTCGATGATTTTGAAACAAGAGGGTGAATGGTTGGTTTTGCATGAGTGAGATTTAGGAAGGTGTCGGTAGATGTGAGAGTTTTTGTCTGTTGTGGTATGTTCCCTGATTCTGGTGGATAAATGGCGCGAAGTTTCGCCAATGTATCGGGAATTACATCCCGCGCAATTGAATTCATATACCACCATAGATTTAATTGAATCAGGGATTGGGTCTTTAAATGAGAAAAGGTTTTTGATTTTGAATGATGTGAAAATTAGTCGAATGTCAATATCTGTACAGAAGCGTTTCATAATGTTTGTAAGTCTGCGTTGTTATCTGCGTTTGTCTGTAAGTATCGACAACAAACATAGCAACAACCTCAACCTAGACACCGAAACTCCTGACACGACGATCACAACCAACACAAATGAAAATTCCAAAATAACAACTCTATACTTCAAACTACCATACATCGGACATTACTCACGACACACACAACGCAGACTTACAAACATTATGAAACGCTTCTGTACAGATATTGACATTCGACTAATTTTCACATCATTCAAAATCAAAAACCTTTTCTCATTTAAAGACCCAATCCCTGATTCAATTAAATCTATGGTGGTATATGAATTCAATTGCGCGGGATGTAATTCCCGATACATTGGCGAAACTTCGCGCCATTTAACCACCAGAATCAGGGAACATACCACAACAGACAAAAACTCTCACATCTACCGACACCTTCCTAAATCTCACTCATGCAAAACCAACTATTCACCCTCTTGTTTCAAAATCATCGACACTGCCGACACCTCATTCACCCTTAAAATCAAAGAAGCACTCCACATTAACAAAACTAACCCTGACCTCAATGTTCAAGTTTTTAAATTCAATACAATATTTAGTTTATAATACGCTCGGACGCTCCTTATTATATTATCTCATTTCCTTTTTATTGTTCTAATTTATGTATCATATTACTTTTATACAAACCCTGTATCATATTACTTTTATATATCACTTTTATATATTACTTTTATAATTTATGTATCATATTACTTTTATATAAACCCTGTATCATACCCTGTATTATTTCATTTATACTGAAGATGGCATCATGAGATGTCGAAACATGTCTATTTTCAAAAAGTTGTCGTTTATATTAAATGTGTAAAAACAAACAATATTGTATAGAAATTACTTTAAGTAACCTTTTTGTGATGTTCTGAAATGCAACTGCATCAAATACTTGTAAAGTTGTAGTACATTTTGATTTTGTTGTATTGATATATAAATTGGGCAAAATGCAAATAATCATCAAAACACTTATGCTTCCAATGGTGTTTATAATTCATTTTTAGTTTTAATACTTCTACCCTTCTGTTTCATTTTGTTTTGTTTTTCCTATATTTTCAATATAAGTGCACAATTTGAATGATTAACACAGTTTTCACTTCAATAATAAATTTCATAAGCAGTTGGTAGTGCATTTTGTTCTCTGAGTATCCACATTTGGTGTTTTCTTCATACATGAATGATGAAATGCATATGGATATGTCATAGCAAGGCAATAAAACCAAATGAATTAAATACCTATAGTGTACTTTTATGCTTGAAGCTTAAAAGCTTTCTAGAAATTATAAAGTTATTGGATTATATTACCTCTATATCATCAATCTCATGAAAAGAAATAAGAAGCAAAATATTTGTAGAAAAGCTTTGAAAAGTGAAAAACATTTATTTAAAAAAGCAGCAATGATGCATATGATAAATCCCCATTCTGTACTCTAATAGGTAAATAAGCTCAAACTGTTTCTTAAAGAAATATAAGAAATATATAAGAAATATACAGTACAGTAATTTTAAAGGTTTCATCACTGAATCTTTAATGCTTCAGTATAGTGCATTAGATACAGTGGCGTAGCTAGCGAAAAACATTTGGTCGGGCTCACGAGGCGCCACCATGGTTGGCGCGGAGCGAGAAAATTTTCCGAATTTAGACTCCCTAGAACGTCGGAAACGGCTATCTTAGAAAGCGAATGCGTGATATTTATGCAGGAAATAGAACCATTTTGGTTAATTTAAATTGCCGAAGGATCTTATAGTAAAGCAGAGAAATAGTTCAAAAACAGTTGCAGATATGTGATTTATTTTCTCAACACCACATACATAAATAGATACCTATGTACATCTTGTAAAGAAACTTTGACAAAAGAACCGAAAAAGGCTCAGATTTGTCATCAACAACTATCAAAAGTTGTGATGCCGTTCATTGCCGTGCTGAAATGACAATCATCATTGCCTGCATTAAAAAGTTCCCGGAAAAATTCTCACATGCCATGGACGTAAGACATCAACAGCTTGCTATCAGCCATATATGAATACCTATTTGTATAAGAAAGCAAGTCTTCGTGGTTTTTCAATGAACTTCTTTACTACCTCATCATGCGATGTGTTGGCGTCTTCTTTCTCTGACAGTATGTCTTTGTGAATGGAAATCCTGCAAAGAGAACTAAAACGTCCTTGGCTCATAGTATTTCTAAGATAATTTTTTACCCTCTTCAAACAAGAAAATGACCTCTCAACTGAAGCACTTGTAATTGACAAAACCCCATTTATCTTTAACAGTTTTACAACTTCTGGAATACTAGATTGAAGATGGAACTGAAAAATATATTTCAATAGTTCATCGCATGAATCACGGTGAAAGTCTTTATCTCTGTAAATAAAACAAAGTTGGCTAACTAGCATTGGTATGTCAAACATATCACCATAAACCTCCTTTAGAAGATTTATCTTTTCTGAGGGCACTTCACCTTTCCACATTTTAAACACCCTAGGGTTAACAAGGTCTAAAATCTAAAACGCTCCATATCCTGAAATCGCTCAGTCAGCATAGTCACAATTGTGTCAAGAATTTCAAAATACATTTGTTTGTAATTATGCCGTTGGTCATACCTGGTTACTGGTGGTCCCACTTTCTCAACAGCCAGGTCGTACACCTGACAATATTCTGTATCATTTCTCAGAGAAGCAACAAAGGCCTTGAATCTCTCAACCCTACTCACTCCATAATGAAAGTCAGTGTCCTTGTCTTGCAAGATAGAATAAAGTATGGATGACTGCTCAAGAATTCTCTGGAAAACAAGTACCAAGAAACAAAACAAGAAGCCATTAAGGTAGCCAAGTAAACCAGTAACCTTACTTAACGTTTCATCATCCCAACCTATTGGATTATCAGTAAGATTTTCAAATATGTCTATCAGTTTCTCATAGTTAGAATGCAAGACATTGATGACATGAGCCCTATAATACCATCTTGTGTCACCAGGACTAGGAAACTCAAGCCTATGGGATGATAGTAAAGCTTTTCTTTGGGGAATTGCTAGTAAAGGTGCAGAAAGCACTAATATTAACAAAGAAAATCTTAACAGGTGAAATGGAGGATGCAGCTTGACATAATACTAGATTTAGTCTATGGGCAGCACAGTGAACAAATTGAGCATAAGGATAATCCTGCTGAACTTGAGCTTGAACACCATTGAGATGACCAGACATAACAGATGCACCATCATAAGTCTGTCCAATAAATTTCTCTTTCACATTACTATATTGACTTAACTTACCCTTAACCACTGATGATATAGCAGTTGCAGTCCTATCACAACTAACATCAACAAACCCAAGCTGTCTTTCAATGACACTTTCCCCTTTGTCCATTCGAACAATTACACTCAATTGTTCTTTGGTAGAAACATCAGTTGCCTCATCAACCTGTATACTTAAGAAAGTGCAGCAATCTATTTCCTTTAAAATCTCATCCTCTATTATCTTATCAAGACAATCAATCAAATCATTCTGAATATCAGGAGAGACTCCAGTAAACCGCCCTCCCCCAGCAAGGTGGGTTTCAGCAAGCCTGCCATGTAATCGCCTTTCAAAAACAGAATCCATATTGGCAAAACTTTCAAGTAGCTCTCTATAATTTCCTCTATTCATGCTTCCACTAGATTCATCATGCCCCCTAAATGCAAGCTCTTGCCTAGACAAGTATAAAACAGCTTCTGTTATGGTTTTCAACATTTCCCTGTTTTGCCTTACCTCCTCGTTATGACGCTGAATCTCTTCACGTCTGGCTTGTGACATGAGAAAGTCGACACGAGGCTGAAAACCGTAGGTCCTCCAGGTCTTGTAAGCACCCATGTGCGATTTTGCCTTCTCATGCTTCTTACAATCGGATAGGAAATTCTTCATGTTTTGGAATCCCGTCTGCGTCCATGAAGATGACGATCCAGGGCAAAACAAAAGACAAGGCCAACAGAACAATGCATTCTTTTCTGAGCTACCACAAAGCCAATCTTTCTTCGAGTACCAACTTTCCTGAAAGCTTCTATTGCCTGTAGTCGCTTGTAAATTTGGTATTGGCCGCTGCTTTACGAGTATATTTTGCTCGCCTGATTGTCGAACAGAAAATGGTTTCTTTTGTAGTTCACTTATTATATCGATTTCATTAGCCGAAGCCATTGTAATGTAAGTTATCACGATTTCCGAACGTATATTTCGAAAGCTCAAAATTCAAGTCACGCTTTTGAAATGAGCCCGACTAGATGTTGTTAAACGTTTGAGTGTGTTCACAGCTACTCTCAACCAATCAGATTACAGATATTCCCACTATAGATTTTACTACTTGGTCGGGCTGAATTTTCAGAGCCCGACTAGATGTTGCGAAACAGCGCATTTGAGTTTGCTCGGTTGCTGTCAACCAATCAGATTGCAGATAATCCCACTATAGATTTTACTACTTGGTCGGGCTGAATTTTCAGAGCCCGACTATACTGCGTAATGCCTGGCACTAGAAATGCACTAGTCATTGTTGCTAAGTAACGTTTAAAAATATGATAATTTTGCTAATAACGACGCAATTTGACAAATATTACACTAATAGACTGTGGATTATTCCAAAAAGAGTCGCAGAATTTAAAATTTTCGCAAATCCAATTTCAAAGAAAACAAATTTTTCATTTTTGGGAAAATATTTGGTCGGGCTGGGCCCGACCAGCCAGACCGCTAGCTACGCCACTGATTAGATATTAGTAACATTTAAACAACACTCAACTAAAATATTTTGATAAAGATATGACATGATTTAAACATTAAGTTATATAAAACCCAATGGCTTATTCAGTTTAATGCTTCACATCTGCATCAAGTCATCATCAATCTCAGTACAAATTTTTACATAGACACAAACTTTATGGCCTTTCCATTTTATATGTTGTGAATTGACATTTAATTAAGCATCAAAAACACACAACCTTCTTGCCATCTTTTTTTGGTTCATGAACTTTAACTTCAAAGCATTAGGGGCATCATTAGTGAATCCATTGTCTCCATACATAGAATTTGACCATGATCAAATTAAATAACTCTGGATAAGGCAGACAATAAATCAATTATCTTTACAGCATTATCATTTTTTTAAGACTCTGCCTGGTCAATAACATCTTCCAGTCATCTTTACTCCTTGGTCTTCCCTGCATGTTGTCAGCAAATAGAACATAACAAGCTCTGCTCCAAATCATGGGTACTGTTGGGGCTGATCATTTCTTTTTGATACTTTTCACAGAGCAAAATGTGTGCAGGGTCTTTTTTGCTTTAGGGAAACTATTTTGCAAATAGATAGGTGAATTTACGATTTCATGCATTAACAAATGACAGAAAAGTATGCAGAATTTTATAGACAAAAGCAGGAAAACATCAGTATATTTGGCGTTCAAGTCAGTCTTAAAAAATACGATCTTTAATATGTATTTTATGGCTTTTCAAGTGCATGTATAATTGCTTTTCAATCGTTGACGGACTAACAAAACAAACAACTACCTCACCTGTGAGAAGCGATATGTACCTTTTTGTGGAAACTACGACATCCAACAATTGAACGATTGAAGTGTTGCCATTATAAAAGAAATGCCAAAAAAGAATCGTCACAGAATATGGAACTAACGATATCCATATTCTGTGATATCGTGTTTGTTTTTGAAAAATTCTTTATAATTTACTATAGACACAAGGGGAAGGTCGAGAATATTATTTTTCTGCAAAGCGATCATTTCAGCGGAAATAAGTCCGTTGGCCGCCATTTTTTTGGCGACCTCGCCCCAGTAAAGTTAGCCGTTCCAGTTATTATAGAACTCAATGGATCCGCCCCTGGCATGGACATATCTAAATTCCAAAATGGCTGATAGACAGTGATTTTGGAATTTAGATATGTTAGCACTTTTTTAATAACCTTGATTTCAGTTTAGTTTTACTGTTTTAAAACGGAAAGAAAGAGGTAATTTAAAGATTATGTGTTACTTGATGACCGTGAATTCATGTTTATATTGCAGACACAATTCATTCAATTTATCCCTCATCCGCGTTTTATCCCGTATCCGCCATTTATCCTAATCCCATCCTTAACATTATTGAAATACTTTTTAACAGACTTTTTTATCTAATGGTACACAGTGTGCACAAAAGTTATTATGCAAATCTGTAGCAATTTATACATCCATATTTATCTCGAGCAAAATATAATAATTTAGGTGAGTCGTGATGATCTACGTCAATGTAAATGTATTGGTTTTATTAAATAACATTAATGGTATTTTACATTAATATGTATCTAAATTTACCGAACACCTTTAAGATATTCTTTGTTTTTTCCATAATTTCTTAAAAGCACGATTCTTTGTTTTCAGTTGACGATGCATAATATGTTTAACGCAAGATTTGGATGAGTCATAACCAATGAATGTAAAAAGCATTGTATAAATAGCTCTATTTCTTCATTACAGCCATAGTAGAAAAAGTAAAATTATTTCATGCATAATAACATGCATAACTGAAATTCTCTGAAGTGCCATTATTTTGACTCATCTTAATTTTTTAGCTTTGACATACAAATATTTGAGATAAACCATTGGAATGTATAGTTGGTGATGATGTGGGAAAGTTCAGTAACTCCCAATGGTAAATTGTTCAAAATCTATTTAAGCTTGTTTGAAAATCCCACCAAAATCAACAAACGCTATCCATATAAAACATACATACATGGTACGGAAGTTATTTATGACAAATAACATAAATAAAAGATATGACAGGTAAACATTAAATTCAACATACCTTCACAAATAAAGAATGATGGAAGAAGCGTTACCAACTACATGATTTCTTTGCTTTCGCTTTACAATAACGAAATCAAAATGTTTACTGACTGTTCAATATTAATCACCTGTTGATTTTAATGAGGATGTGCAATAGGAAAAGTTCACACAAAGGTAATAGCAATTGCATACATCAGCCCAACAGGTATCCAAAGGAGCATTTAAGGTGTAGGTTCAAGAGTCAATCATAACTCTCAGTAACGCGACGGTGAGAGCTTATAACAGTAAGCAGGAAAGCAAAATTGATTGAAGTGCATTTTTTTTATTGCTGTTGTGGTTTGTTTATTTACCTCTATTGTTGTCTCCAACGACTTTATAGTCCCCACCATATCGTTGTGAAGGTGTTAGTTGAGATGGGATGGTCACCATGTAATGTCCAGAACATAAATCAGAATCTCAATTTTCTAATTCTTAAATAATTCCTTCAAGTAACTAAAATTATATGCAAATATATTTGGAATGAACAATCAAGAAAAAGAAGCGACCGACCAAACATAAAACAAAAATCTCTAAAAAATGAGAAGTTGGGCAACATCGCCAAAAACTGTTGAGCAAACGTGACATACTCGTGAAAATATGTACAGTAACAAGACAACTATGAGTCCCCTGCTGCGTTATGTTCGTCACTTTCAACAAATTCCTTTGCTTCTTCCTTCGCAATTACATCGATGTGACTGACTTTATTCCTGAAGCGAACACCGTAGAACTTGTCCGAATATTCCAAAAGCTCAACTCGAAATGTTGTCGTAATGAACTGCGCCTTTTCTGCTTGCTTTTTTATCATTTCTGAAACGAAAGGAACTCGAAGCTGTAGATGTTCTATGGTTTAAAAAATTATCTTTACACCGGTCTATAACTGTCTGTCTAGAGAGTTCAAAGTTTACAATGAAAGAAAAACATAAAATGATTAAATATAACAAAGATCGCGTCGCTGTTTCATAACCATGTGCTGAGCGTTTTGCTAGCTAGCCTACAACTAACGTAGCTACAAAAGCCACAATCCCAATGCACTTATAATTCGTTATAAGTGTTATAATTACTGTTATAATTAGTGTGGTTGAAATTTGAATAAGTATGCCAAATTTTCTTTAATACAAAATGTTTTGAGGTGTGATTTGTGGCATTATCCAACTGGCCATTTTACACAGCTGGTGTGAAAAACCATTGTTTTATACGAATGCATTTCGTGCACATTTGCGTGAGCCTTGACGTTTTTAAAATAAGATTTTCACTCTTTTTGACTTATGTTGTACGAAGTTAAACTTAATCTTGAATGTCGGAAACAGTTCAAGAAAAATACGCAATGTTGAGTCGCTTCCAATACTTATTATGAATTATTACTTAGCCTGAAATAGAAATTTGTCGTTGTCCAATGACGGAATAAAATTTAAAAATAAGTAAATATTTAATGCCATGAAGTAAAATCTTTAAAGGCAAAAGACATATACTTTTTGGTGAAATAAAGCGAGCAGCAGTACTTCCAACTGAATTATCTCTTTATAATTGTGCCATACAGTAGTAACAATATTACAGCCAAATTTCGTGTCTTAAATAGCGATCATGCATTTTGCACTAAAATACGCTGAGGTTTTGCTACTAGTCAACAAAGTTTGCACAGGAAGTAGCAAAGGAAACTTTGTATGGCAAAAGTTTCTTTTGTTTTGTTTATCCTTATGCTTATGTCGCTAGTGAAAACTAGGCCTTAAGAGTTAGTTATGCAAATACCATTCAAATTCTAAGCATTGAAAGTTTCACAATATCTAAATTAATGACTTTAATCTATCGATGATCTATCTTTCTATCTATTGATTTTAATCGATCTATCGATGACACAACTAACTTACCAGCAACTGAAGTGCGGTACTGAGGATCCAGCGCCTGGTCAATTTCGTCAAATAAATAAAATGGCGCGGGGTCACATCGCTGTATTGCAAATATCAACGCAAGTGCAACTAAGGACTTTTGACCACCAGACAACTGATTCATTTCACGAGTCTCTGCTGATTTACCAGTAAAGGAAACCTGTCAAAAAGCACAATCAAGAAGCAAAGATATATGAGTTTTGAGTTTTCCAAGGCAAATTGAATAGCAAAGTTTTAGACGTCGAGAAAATAATTTTGTAATTTGACCTTAACATTTATTTATGCGCTTGGTTATAGATTGGCTGGCATAAATGAAAATTCCAGGCGATTGTCGATTGAGCCATATTGACTTACGATTTTGACATATTCTGCGCACAACATTGAAAATATTTTACCAAATAACCAAATATTGCAATATTTTGTATTTGCTCCAAATTCCTTTGCACAATACAAATTTCCATCACCCGTCCCAAGAATGTATTTTCTTCAAATTTCCTTCTCTTTGGTGGAGAAAATCCTTGCAAAAAGGAATTTCCCACGAAGTGAAAGCTTTGATTTCGCGATATAAAATATCATTGTAGCCACAAAAACGATTTTCTGCTCACCTTTATAGATACACCAGTAAATTTATCGGAAGGAAGTCTGGATTGGCTTTGACTACCACCAGTACCATCACTACCCTGGCAAAATATCATATCCAAATGTAAATGAAAGAACGAAAAACACTTACGGATATACGCATGAAATATGAAAAATAAAATTAGCCATGCCACTAAACGCAAGTTGCAAGCTCAAAGTACCTCAATTCAGATGATTATGTGTTATTCGATGTAGTAATGCATGAAATTATTTACATAATAGAAAAAACGGTGTGTGTATATGTTATTTTTACTCAACAATAAACACAATATAATATTTGCTCCACATGAGAAAGTTAAGCTTATAATTAAATGTAAATAAAATTGCGCAACAAAGACGTTTAGACATTGACATGAATATAACTTGATCGCGCTACTCGTCCCTGTAATATTGAAGCCGCTTCTCCCCAGTCTTTTCACGCAAAAAAAACCACACGACCAAACAAATTGTAAATTTATACAACACATCATTAAAACTTCATTTTAGAGAAATAAGTCATTTTTAAGATCATTAACTAAACATTCATGATTTGATGATTCATCGTTTGGAAATGCTGAAAAAAAGGTCCATTTCTTCCACAAAAATAAAAAAAAAACAAAAAAAAAAGTACAGCATTTGTGTACTTTTTTCGCATGAAAAATTCGTTGTTCGCTGTTTTTATTTAAATAAATGAATACAACAAATACAAAATCATACACATGAAAGATGAACACAAGTTTTGATATGATAGTCTTCTCTATGAAAGTATTCACGCCGCCAATGTTTTTTTCGGTCAATGGCGTTTGCTTCCCGGTCAATCGACAACTTCTTTCGCTCAAAATCAAATTTGTGTAAAAACACGTTCCAATAAAGTCCCCCAATCACAAATTTTTAACTTAAAACCATTCACTAAGCAAAAACTTTCTTTTAAATTCGTAAAACAATCTGAATGTAGCGGTCCAGTTATATTCATTTCAACGCGCTTAGAGCATTAAACTAAAATACATGGACGCTACCTATAGCAAATAATTGAAGCTAAATCTTACACTCAGACACGCGTGTGTAGTGTTTCGATATTTTGAAAATTGATTGACTACATACGCGTGTCTGGGTGTAAAATTTGGCTTCAAGAATTTATCAGACTTTTCTATCACAGGTAGCGTTCCATGTATTTTAGTTCAAGGGTTTAGAGAGCGTTTTCACTACACGTTATTATTGCCGCCATGTTGGTGAACCAATTTAAAAGAAGTTAAATGAAATTCTCTTGCTTGGAACACTAATATGACTGCTTTATCCATTGTCATGCTGTGAAAACGCCATTCAAAATACGATTAAACTATCGTTTTGTTAATTATAGATACCTGTGAATTTCGGCTACTACTATCATCGTCCTGCATAAAAAAAAACAAACATAGTGATAAGTAACAAGAAGATAGATATGAATTTAACCTTTTACCTGGCGAATACTTTGAAAACGTGTAGCTACACATTTCGTTTGGTAAAAATTGCCGATCGGCTACACTGCCGAGTAAAGGGTTAATTAAAGAAAACTCGTTCACACAGCCGTATTTGTTGTTGACTACAACCACTGACATGTATATTACACTGGATAACGCACCATGTATAAAATATAGTAAGATAATTGAAGCCGGAAGTTGGCTCATCTAAATATGACCTTCGTGGGGGTATCGGTACAGCTTTACTATACTTTTGTATTACAAAATCACAGTTTTTGCGTTTTTATTCGTTCTACAAACTTTTGATTCGAGGAAAATTTTTGTAAAAGGGACAGAACAACCGGCAAAGATATTTAATCCTAAAAAGTTTGTCTTCTTGGCTTTATAATGGCAGAAAATTGGGATGATACAAGGTCGACCTGCATTGTTTTCAAACAAACTGGAGATTATATGATGCTGCTGCTTCTTAAAAAGTGTAGAAATATTACAGAATCCTACTACTGCTACCAAAATTTCATCTGCAATGACGTTTATGGAAGATTGCTACAAATTTACTTATTTAACATCACTTTGTTATTCACATCGCTAATATCATAATAATTTCAAATACGTCTTTATTATATCAGTGAAGAAACAAAACAAATCGACATAGAAAAATAATCAGAAAGACATTTTGATGAACAATAGTAAGTTGAAAACGGTATCATCAAACTCTACGAGATGTACATCATCAAAATATGCGAATTAAAGTACCTCTGTTGTCATAAAGCGAAACAAAGTTTTCAACCAGTTCCTATGTGAGCAACTTCAATATCGATGAATATGTTCAAGATATGAATACCTTTGTTCTTAATTTGTAATGGAATAAAAACGCAAAAACTGTGATTTTGTAATACAAAAGTATAGTAAAGTAGGACCGATACCCCCCATGAAGCCAGCAGCAAATGATCGATCTTTCCGGCTTCAATTTTCGCAAGAGATGCGTTATCCAGTCTAATATACATATTAGTGACTACAACCCTCACAAGTGAATTTCGGTTTTTATCTTGTCAGACTCGTTGTGCGTTGCCTGACGAAGTCTGACGAAGATTTTGGTGCACGTACATAGCGCATAGGACATTACGCAGTGTCATATTACACTAAACATGAAAACGCGACAATGCTTGTAGCTAAGCGCATTCGTGAACAGTGCAAAGTTTGAGCTTGCTACCTCAGAATCAGCGCAAAAACGAAGCGCATACTTACAAAAATGTGCATTTTAGAAGAAAGGGTTAGCTTGGAGTGGACACTATTCAATAAAAAAACAACATAAAAAGTACTTTTGGTTTATATCTCTGTTGATTCAGGATATCAGCATCACTTGTGTGTTTTCCAGTTGTACAACATGAATCTAAATCTCAACTGCAAAAGTTGTCGACAACAAAATGCCTAGTCTGCGGAGGCCCTTAGGGAAGAAATGTAGCTACTCGAAATGCCTGAGAGGTTACCAATCTCCCTTGGCTTTCGAATACATTTAATCATTAAGTAGCTTCACCACAATGGTTTATAGCATGATCAATTGATCAAAAGTTTCGTCAAGATTTAAGCAAGTCATATACAGGTCAGTGATTGGTTAGTAGCTATTTTTCAAAAAAGCCATATAATCACGATCACAGGCATTTCTGTGTGTTTTCTCCTAAAAGCCTAGTTTACAAATAGTTGAATAACGGGAGCTGTTAATCGCAGAAAAATCGTAAAAAAGAATTCTTTCGTTCATGATCAAAATTATATGACCAAACCTCACATATATTCTGGATTTGCATTTAATAAAAACGACAAGTTTTTTTAACATAAAATGTTTCAACATCTCATGATGCCATCTTCAGTATAATAAGGAATATTATGAATGTGATGAATATATATAAGAGTAATATGATACTGTTACACAATTTATACACATATGAATAATTATTATCTATAAATATTACAAAGAAATAGTGGTTAGAAGTAATGATGAAAGTATTTACAGGCTGAATATAGTGTTAAAGGGAAAAACGTGAACGTTGAGATTAGGGTTAGTTTTGTTAATGTGAAGGGTTTCTTTGATTTTTAGTGCGAATGTAGTATCTGCAGTGTCGATGATTTTAAAGCAAGAGGGTTAATAGTTAGTTTTGCATGGAGGTGATTTTAAAAGGTGTCGAAAGATATGTGAGTTTTCGTCAGTAGTGGTGTGTTCCCTGATTCTGGCGGATAAGTGAAGGGAAGTTTCGCCAATGTATCGGGAATTACATCCCACACAATCGAATTGGTATACCACCATAAATTTAACAGAATTAGGGATAGGGTCTTTGAATGAACAGTAGTTATTGATTTTGAAGGAAGTGAATATTAGTCGGATGTTAATGTCTGTACAGAAGCGTTTGATGATGTTTGTAAGTCTGCGTTGTGTGTGCCGTGAATGATGTCCAATGTACGGTAGTTTAAAGTAAAGAATTTTTATGGCTGTCCGTTGTTGTTGGTCCTTATTATACTTAAGATGGCATCATGAGATGTTGAAACATGTTTATTTAAAAAAAACTTGTCGTTTTTATTAAATGCGCATGATCAATAATGCTTTTACGCAGTTACGGTAATATTCTGAATTAAAACAATTGGAACTATATGGGAACGTGTAGTTTAGTAATTCAGTCGGCTAGTGTCGCCGATGAAATTAGCTACAACAATTAAAACTAAATGGAATTCAGGCTTACACCCCTAACTCGTAAACATACCGGATTTGGGCCTCCTGTTTTCATGACAAGGTTTGCTTTACCACGAGGAACGAGTTCTTTGAAAACCGCGGTGAAGTGGTAGGAAACCTTGGGTATGCGTAAATGGTGTGTAAATTAGCGACCATCTTTTGTATATATAGATAAAAACCTTTCCTTCATTACATGCTAGTATGAATTCACACCTGTTTGAATGTGAATAGAATGGCTTCGTTTTTTCTTTGGTCCAAAACATCTATCAAATCCGTTATTGCCTGCCGATAAAGGGTACATTATAGAGTAAAATAGACTAGTAATGAGATGTGTAAACGCAAGGGGAAAACTTTTTTCTAGTATTGACAAACATCTCAAAATAATTTTTATTGGTTGGCTATGAATGAAAAATTTTGAGAGGGCTATAAAACGACAAATTCAGCAACACATAAAAAACAGTGAATCGAAATTTGAAGACGATCTCTTACCATGTATCCTTTGTCCACTTCATCTCTACGTTTCGTAAGTGCTTCTTTCTGCTCGGAAAAATTCACAAACTGATCTAACGCTTTCTTGTTTACATGACTGTATTTCTTCAGATCTTCGTTGCATTTTTGTAGTTTTTTCCATAGCTAAAAAAAAGGAAAATAATTTGCAAACTCATCGATTGCAGTTACGATTAGATAAAGCATGCTTCTTTTCATCCAAAATTGGTTCGACTATATGATTCTTTTTGCCGCCATTTTTTCTTATTCATAGGTACAAGCTTTCACACCAACATGGAGATTATGAACACATTTTAGTTTTTATAATTTTGTAGAAGCACTATTGCTAATGTGCATTTAATATAGACGACGAGTTTTTTTAGAATAGAAATATTTCGGCATCTCATGATGCCAGTATAAGTGAATAATACAACACAATATTTAGTTTGTAACACGCTGCCCATTAATTTATCTCATTCCTTAATATTTTTATAATTTATGTATCATAATACTTTTGTATAAACTTTGTACTATTTATGTATTCTTCACACATACTTAAGATGGCATCATGAGATGCCGAAATATTTCTATTGTAAAAACTCGTCGTCTATATTAAATGCATTTTAGTTTTTCTTGTTTTTTACAGATCTAGCTCAAAAAGTTAGTAAACATGCGACGCCAACTTTATATTTCGTGCAAAAAAAAACATTTTCAGAATACAATGGCTCAAACATGAAATTTACGATCCTGGATCTCTCAAATAGCTACATTTTAAACTGAAATTAATTCAAAATAAGGCAGCATGTCATTGAGCAAACAATGTCAAATCGGTGAACTATTTATGACTATATTTCAGCATTGCACAAACAGGTAAAATGTAAATTTCAATTTAACCCTCGATGATGTCAAAGGGTGTTTTTCAGGGATATACATTGACCAAGTGCAATTTTTTTGCAAATTTACAAATAGCTACTACATTGCAATTTTTTTGCATTGTTCATTTCTTTAAAAAATTAGCTAATTCAATTCATTGCTTTTCAAGTAATTGAACACAAGAACATTTGCATTGTATAACACGCCGGCTTCGCTACTGATTTGAAATACGCTATCTTTTCTTTGCGCTTTGGCACCGTTCAAGTGTTTAAGCAGCAATTTTTATATACTTTTTATAGCCTTAATGAAATATTCAGATGTTTGCAAGCAATTTAATATAATTATGTCCATTTTACATTGAATGGAAGTGGACTAATTTCAACTCCAAAAGTTGTCCTCTTGTGCGAATTTTTTCGACCACCATGTTTGCTCATTTGAAGTCATAAGTTGTACGGAAGTCGCCAAACTAATAGCAATTTCTATTGCCATGTTGAAAATGTGCACTACATATGACGTCAATTTAGCAAACATGGCAGCCAAAAAAGTTCGCACAAAAAGAACCAAAAACCGCCACTTTTGACGTCTATAAATTCTGAAAAGACAAAATTTAACTCTGTTTCCATAAAAATAATGCTGAGAGCAAGTACTTTTGACTAAGCAAATAAAACAATGTATGAAAATTTCAATGTACGAAAAATAAAAGGGAAAAATAGTTGAGCAAAATATTGTTTTCCATGCACCTAGAACAAAAGGTGATTGTATCTTAAAAAGAAAAAACACACTAAAAACATACAAACTTACCGCCTTCACATTTACCGCCTGGTACTTCTCGAACGCATTAGAGGGAAGCGATCCCAGTTCACGGATTTTCTTCATACAATCATCTTTCTAAAATTTATTAAATTGGCTTCACAATTGAAAAAGCTTGCTAATGAGCTAATTTCTAAATATCGACCACTAAAATTTATAGCAATCATGGCCCAATTGGAAAAAAATGAAACAAAGAAAAATACACGCAAAAAAACGTGATTAGCTGCAATGGGCGTCGTGTAGCTTTTCGTGACAAACATTTCACAACTTCGAATGAGCAAACAGAAACACTTTTGGAACAGTTTTCTAACAAATAATCAGATTAAACTTGGTGTTGACAATTGTTGCCTATGTCAAACAATTACAATCACGGAGAAATCGCTCTGCAATAGTTTCGAATTAGGAAGATTTTTATAGAGCCAGAACATTTTCCTTTAACGTTTTATGGGGTGAATTTTCACATATTCTTTAAATAAAATGGTTTCGCCAAGGGGTTCAACAAAGCAGCAATAGTTTAAGCCTTATCTGATGGATGCGAACTAAATATAAGCTTTCGTAATGTATGTGTTTGAATATAAAATTACACGATGTGAGCTGTGTCAAAATAAAAGATAAAACCAGGACAACATCCCTTATATGACTAATTTGACATGACTACAAGACCCTACAATTACAAACGATTATATAACAATGTACCTTTTTAATAAGTACGCTCTTTTTGCTGGCGATCTTTTCGACAGACTTCGAGTCATCGTTCAAGCGCAGTTGGCTTTCCTTTTCTTTATTCTAAAAAATATTGAGTTTTCATTTAAAAAACGATAGAGAGAGGTTTCCACGATGAAAGGCGACATAACTTAAAGAATGTAAATCAACCAAGATGCATTGCGCGTTAATAACGTCATGGCTACCATTTTCTGGGTCACGAAAATGGCGGCTAATGCTATTGTTTGTTGTCCATGGAACTTTGACCATCCAACAATTTTAAAATAAGTAATTTTATAAACTTTTGATTTGAAATGGCGTCGTCTCCTAAGCGTGGAAGGCCAAAACGGAAAGTTGAACAACACCACTCGTTAATATGATAAAAAAAAGACAAAGCCAAATCGGATTCGGAGGTTGACATTTTGACGTGCTTTGAATTTTTACAAACTTGATTATTTTTTCATTAACGTTTTATGTTAATTTTTTCAGCTAAATTAGACGACGTAGTGACAAACTTGGATTTAGTGTGCCACAGGCTCAAAAACTAACGATGTAATCATAAGCAAAAGCGCGCCATGCATCGGGGTTGACACACATTCTTTAATCTACAACATGGTAAATCGTGCAATTGAAAATAAAGCTTGCATTTTATTATATATACTGGTATGAAATAAAGTGAAAAATAAAAGATACCGTGCAAAACATCAGCACCATTTACCTTCCAATCCTCCAGCAAGTCATCGGTAGCCTTGACTTCTCCAGTCACTTCATTAACTCTTCTATTTATACCTAAAACATAATGATACCAAAATACACCAAAAAAACCTTCTGACATACATGATAAAGGGTGCGGACAAAAATATCCCCGCCCGCCCCAAATAAACACATCGTTATAGTTTCGTGGCTTGTCATTCTTAGAGAAATTCTATAGAAATGAAGACTTACTGTTGAAGAATAAATGAAACAAAAAATGCAACGTTGATCATCATCAACTATAACTTTAATGACAAAATTAAAAGAAAAGAAAAACATTAAAGAAATAGCAGGCCTATTGTTGACGTTGTTATATATTGTTTTTCTGCAAGGTTATAAATCACAATTGCGCTGAAAAATCACGCGTTCTTTTGTATTTGTTTTCATATACGCATCCTTCTACTGTTAGTCAAAATACAGTTTATGAAAAAATTTAAAAAAATTTGCAGTTAGCAATGCCTTAGGTTCGTTTCAAACGTCGCATTTTACATGAGCCGAATGCTCTAAAGTTTATGTAATGGTAGTTGCTCATCTGAGCATTTTCCTGCCTTGAACAATGAGAACCGACATTTGTTGACGTCCTCAGAATTCTTGTCACCGTACAATAAACAAACAAATCTACTTAGTTGAAACACAAGTTCTTCTGACGGGGGAAATGCACTTCCTAAGGAACTAAATGAGTTCAAATATTTGTGGTTACGTAGAAGAATGTTCCAAGCTGTCTTTTTGCCCTTCCCATAAAAAGAACTGGTGGTGTCACATCCTTAAAAGAAAATTTTGAAAATATTGATTACAGTATACTATTCTTTCACTTATTATCATCGTAACAAAAGAAAACTAATGACAACATTGGTGTTATAGACCAATGTTGTCATTAGTTTGTTGTCATTACCAGTAAAGGCATGGAAACCTAGCAGACCTTGACTAAGATTTTCCTCACTTTCTTCTACAATAGCTTGTATAGAAATCAAGCGGAAGTTATTTCCCGTTCCAGTCATGAAGCATATTTCTTTGTTAATAATTCGTTGCATGGCGATCGACAACACAAAAACGTCTGTATCTGGGCTTTTGATTATGATTCTTTCGTTGGTTTCTTTAGCATGATTTGCATGTAGTAAGAGCCGAGTGTCAGCTTCCTCGTGATTACACTCCAATTCATACATTTCACTTTATCCTCATCTGATCTAGCTCGAGTAATACCATAGCATTTCTCTTTCGACGTTACATACAACGATGACAGATGTCCGAGACAAAATGATACGTAATTGCCCCAGTGCTCACAAAGAAACTGGATCAACGACTTTTTGTTTTCGCCCAGAGCAAGAATCTTTTTCCACTGCTTTGGAAGATGTTGGTTTTTGTCGAATACACGAATTTTCTGAATTCTAGTGTTTTCGGGTCTTCTGTTCCTTTCCGATTCCTTGATACTTGTGGGAAGGTATATATCCGCAACTAAGTCAACTCTTGTTGCCTTCCAGTCTTTGACCAACTTTAATACGTTATTAAAAATTGCATGGCAGAATTCTCCAAAATGTTTTCCATTTGCTCTTCATTGTTTGGATAAGAGGAATTGCATCGACAATGAGTGCATTGTTATTATAGTGTTCTCCATCAAACTTGCACGTGAGGTGGTCACCTATACAGTAAACATCGTAAGAAATTCCTGCATGAATACGAACACCAATCAGAACACGAATGCGAATCAAGACAAGAATGTCTCACACTGCAACAACAACTGTTTTTTAGTTAAACTAACCTATTTGAATCATTAAACCAAATTTGAGGTGTATTGGATACTGGGGATTCTTTGTAAATCCTACTTGTCGAGACAATAACAAAACCTACCGAAGTCCAACACTAATAAAGCTAACAAAGAGAATCGTTATTTGTACCTTCAAAAATTTCAAATAACTTGGATTTGGTTGTTTTAACAAGACTTCCAGAAGTGGTTGCCAAGAAAGCGGGTACGTGCCAAGACTGTACGACAGAACATTTGCAATGTCAATTTCACGGATCTTAGCTATCATCAATAGCCGAGCAAATAGGTCTCTGTTCATTTTTAAATTGATTTCTTTCCCTTTGCTGGTTGAAACAATTGACCGTTTCTGGCACAAGAGATCTGAAATCTTGTAAGGGGTGAACTTTGCAAAAATGTCCGGTTTTGTATTCAAAAGATTATCTCGTGCAAATTTAATAAACTGCTCCTCCCCTATTTTTTCTGCCCCAGGAGTTTATCTGCAATCTTGTCTTCCACCACCAAGCCACTGGCCAAACCAACCAAATTTTATTCCTCAGCATCAAACGGATTGTTCATGCTCAACACTGCAGACATTACATTCTTCACTAATTTTTCATTAAGTGCACACTCAGTTTTGTCAAGATCTTTGCGGCTCCTGTAAAAATACCGTGAGATACAATTCACGACAGTTCATATAGTTAGAGAGACTGCAAAGTTTCTGTTGACACTTCATCAGCAAAAGGAATATTCTCTACCATTGAACTTGGTTGAATGCAACCTGAGTAAACCATCTCACTTTTGTTACGCTGTTTAGGGTTTGAAATATTAGTTGTGGAAACCGTTTTTTCATTCGTTGCTTTAATCGACTTGTTTTATAATTCGTTGCATCTACATTTTCAACACGTGCAACAAATTTAACAAACTTTTCTTTAACCTTTGCCATGTAGAAAATACTTTCTTCCTGTATTATGTGCACCTTTAATGAACTCTTCACAAAAACTTTAAACCCTTCATTGTATAATGGTTTTTGAGTGGATTTTTCACATTCAGCAGGGTCAACTTTATGGTATTTGAGGAAGGAAGTGTATTTTTGATAACATCTGTGATGATACTTTACTTCTAAAGCAACAAAGTCTTTTCCTGTAATGTGTAGCAAAATACTTTCATCACCCTTAATTTCTGCTGCTTCCTAAGTCGACCACCATCTAGCGTTCTTGCTGTATAAAGTGGATCCCGTTTATGCTTCTTACTTATCTAAATAAAAATTGTGTGAAAACTGATGTAGAGTTAGCATAAAAAAATATTCCACATAATGGTTTAAATTCACAGCAGTGGTGGCGCCAGTAATTCCCCGACAGAGCGGCTTAGGTCCCCGATGGGGGGGACTGACTTACTTGGCTTGTGTGAAAATGCGCTTTCCGTGCAAATCTTTTTTTTCAGAGAAAATTTCAAAAATTGTTATAAGTCCTTGCTTTAACATAACCTATGAAACATAGTTTGTTTACGAAATAATATTTACATCTACATGAAAAATTAACATCACGTAATAGACTAGTTGTTAGAGCCACAACTAGAATGCTAATTTGGGAGATGATGGTGTTTACTCATGTATTCAGTTGTGGCTGATTTGAAACTTACGCAGTAGAGGTTTTTTGCAGTTTTTTTTACAAAAAATTTCCTATCCAAATTCGAAAGTCGAGTTGTAAAAAGCAACTTCTGCCCCCAGCTCCCTACTCTAGTGCCACCCGTGCGTGATTCACAGCTACGTTTACCTACCGTGTCAGTGTAGAATGAATGCTCTTTCTTGCAAATGACACAGGTTGGAGGTAACACGTGCTGGCTCTTTGCCTTAATTCTTTCACCAGTGAATGATTTTGATCGCAGCATTATCTTTTCTGGAGGTGGTACTTCCTGCTGTACAGACGTAGAAGGCTCGGTATCGGTTGACGGTTTTGCACTCATTTTAGAGCGTCGTTGTAATCGATGTATTAAAGTTTTATTGGTAAATGCTGAATAACAACGTGAATGGTAAAAGTAACGCTCATAACTTCCCAAGTTATCCTCTAACTCCTCGAAAGGAATCACATTCGTGGTTTTCAAGGCTACGTCTTTCTGTCGTCCATCAAGTTGTAGCCATTGCTTTCTGCATTCCAGGAACCGTTTAAACGATGTTGGTGTAAAGTTCGTTAGTGTTCCGCCGTCATCTTCGCAATGAATCAAACACGAATGCCTTTCTTTCATGTTTATTAACGAAACATTGGCGCTATTTTCATGTATGAATTTTAAATGAAGCTATGTTGTGTATGCTACATCAAGTTCTGCATCAAAAAAAATGGCGATTTTCAAAATTATACTAGCGAAGAATTTTGAAATTCAGCCGCGAAATACTAAAAAACTGCATCTTTTTAGAAGTGACAATAAAAAGAATATCAAACAACAAGTGACTTTCTATCTATTTTGAAAATTTTGCGTCCTTTCTTGAGGTGTCCAACGAAACTCATTTCTAAAGCATATTTTTAAGGCATATTTTTGAGGCACAGATCACGGACTACATGTAAAATGCGACGTTAGAAACGGGCCTTTGTGATTGTAAAGTGTACAAGAATAAAGTGTACAAGCATAAAGTTGCGTGTATAATTCATGTGGTTTTCGAGAGAAATCTAACTACCACAAAGACTAATTTTACTATTGTTTTACAATAAAATGTCCGTGTATACTTTGTCCAAAATGTCCAAACCATAAACACTGCTTGTCCTTGAAGATACATAAAGAACTTACCTTGAAGTCGTTCCAAAATCGTGGCATGTCTAGAATTTAATGAAGCCAATTCCTCTCTCATTGACGTCAACTGTCTTTCATCGCCTTCAAGAGCCATTTCATCCAATTCCTAGAAGATAATTCGTGGAAAAACTGTTTGAAAAAATAGTAACTGAGTAACCAAAAAAAAATGTGACAGCTATTCTCATAAGACAACAAAGCAGTGGGGTAGCAAGCGCGTCTGTTTAAACTCGTGCTATACAAATTCTGTGCTAAGTGAATCTTCAGGAAAATTGTACGACGTTCCTAACATTTAAAGTGACGCATGCTCAGAAATTCAAATTGCGTGTATCAGAGCAGTGAAACAGCTTCTTTAGATAGTTAAATCGAATTTAAGAACATTTGCAATATATTTGACTTGACGAAAGTTTTATTTTCGTGGATTTTTGTGGCCAAGAAGTAGATGACTCTTCACCGGAAGTGACGTAAGAATGAGAACCTGTGCGTTGATCATATAGCTTTCATTATACTAAATAACGCTGTTATTGCAAATCTTCTTTAAAAACTACACTACAAATTTAGGATGCTGCATACGTAGATGTATAGTTCTACGACATTGTCTGAGCGAATAATCAAAGAAAACGTTTGAAAAGTAGAACTGCGTTTTTTCTTTTTACTTCAGCTCCGGCGCTAGGTAATCTACTTCTTGGCCCAAAAATCGCACTAAAGATGAACTATCTAAACATGTTATCTCCAATTATTTCCTTGACCACTATATGTAAACATAAAGAAAAACGCGAAATGCATCTTGGTTGTCACGCAGTCTTTAAGACAAAATAATATACATGAAAAAATTTCTCAATTCTGATTGGTTAAGAGCAATGCAATTTTTCCTAAATACCAATGCAAAAATGCAAAACACCAGTGCTGATTTCTCTTCAAAACTGCTCCTGATTGGTTAGTCAAACAAGTTTAGTAGTTTTACTTTGGCGAACGATTTCGAAGTTCACCATTTTAAAGATGTTTCTGGATACCAATTTGAACACTGCTAAAAGTAGATAGACTTTGAAAAACTCAATTGCGCATGTTTTTTTCAAATTGCACTCGAAACCATGCTATTACATATACTAATCATGTCAAATCATAACAACACTATTTTATACCTGCAGCAGCTTGTCGCGACGCTTGATAAGATTGTTCGTCAAGAGATTTTCCAACTTGTTCTTTTGAGGTTCGAGCTTAAAACAACAAAACAGAAAGTGAATTTCTTACAAGCTTGTAATTTTTGTGGAGAAGAATTTGTTAAAAATTCAAACGCAACACACTCGAGCACATTTATAATAGCACAATACAAACGGAAATACTTGGGGTACTTGATTGTTCTGAAAAATGGTTCGAGAAAGAAGAAAGTGGCTGAAAATAAGGTGTTGTTAGCAATATGCAGAGATGATAAAAAATTGCTCATTTATCAAAATTATTCTTCCATGCAATTTTGGGTAACATACAAGTAAAGGTTTTCAAAGAGCTTCGTCCCTTACCACAGATCTCTCGGATAATGTAGTTCGCAGACGCTCTTGCAATTGTTGAATTTCTTCGTTTATTACATCAACCTACGAAGACAAGATGATACTTATTATTTTACTAATCTGCAGAGGGCTGAATCCTAGCCTCTCCTACAATCTGATTGGCTGTAGCGTAATATACTATTCGGTGTTAACGTGTACTATTCGGTGTTAACGTAAACAATGAATAACCTCTTGCAATATTGTCTGCTAAATACGGTTGAAAATGGTGCGTATGGTGTGTTACTACAAGGGATCACTGACTCTCACACGATACTTTCACAGCATATATAATTATTATACAAATTAGGCGATGGATACAGTTTTCAGTTTTCATTCCTATCATTCATGAATATTACCTTGATACTCAAACAGTAATGTTAAAATTGAATGATTCCTAAAACATTTAAAATACACGACTAAAAATTCTTCAGATCAAACATGTTTCGTTATGTAAATAATTATTCATAATTATTCGATACTTCCGCTTTATCACTCTGTATATATTATCATGTAAACTTCCTATATTGATTCACTTCGCACTGAAGATGGCATAAAGTATGCTGAAACATGTTTGTTTTAAAGAAGTTTGTCGTGTATTTTAAATGTTTTATGATTACGGTGCTCTTACGAAATTATGAATGATTCCTAACGAGCAAACAATTTTCTTATTATTTTGCAAAAATCCATCTAGTCCGCAGCGTGACCATACATGCAATTATTAATTGAAAATGAGACATCATTTACCTCGTTTTGATCCTCATTTGACAATCTGGTCATCAACTCTGTTCCTAGTTCACTGGAGAGTGAGCTTTTCGACGATTTCATTCCTCCCAAATCACCATGCATTTTTGATAAAAGTTGATTCTAAAATAGATGCAATTACTTTATTGTTTGCGCGGGTTTTTTTAAAAATGAACTAAGCAGATTGCTCTCGTTGTTTTCAATAACACAACTTTAAAAACAGGTGAAACACGCAAACTCACTGAAAAGCATCGATTTTGGAAGCAGTTATCTATAAACCAGAATACGTGGAACAATTTTTGAATACGACTTGCAAAGATATGAAGCTTTGAACCATCTCAAAATCATTATAGTAGGAACGATAACCTAAGTCTATTGACCCACCACTTGCCAAGTACGGTTTGACGATTTATTTTCGCTCATTGTGGTACTTTGCAAAAAAATTTACTATTTAATTAATGCATGTTATACTGGCTTCATTCAACTCGTGGAGAGGAATTATTTTAATTCCACTTTTGCAGTTATGCTTACTTCAAAAATATGGTTACATTTTAAGAGTCAACTCCAGAAAAGAGCATGCTGTAGCTACCTTTTTATTTTACTTCAAAATGTAGTTAATCAATGACCTAAAACCCAACCTACCATATATATGAGGCAACCCATCTTGAAAGATGGCAAAATTGACGATATTTTACGACTAATATCTTGGTTTATATACAGTTGCAAAGTTGATAGTCTAGGTTTAATTTTTAAAATGTTCGATATGATGGGGTTTTTAAGCCTTCTTTTAGCTTATTTTTCATTTTGAGTTTTGCTTGTTTAACACGGTAGTTAGACATCTAGGGGAATGGGTCAAAAATCATCGAGTTGAATTAACTCCTTGAAATAAACAATAAAAGAAGGACCAAAACTTGCGGGCTTACAACCTCACACTATTTTCGTTCCATGTATCATGAGCCAAGTATCCGTTACAAGTATACAAGGGTACTCGATAAAAAGGCTCAGCTATGGGTACACTTTGTACAATTGAAACTCACTTTCCACTCCATGTCATGAAATTTCAATTCATTTTAGAAGGACAATCCATTCAATAAATTTACCAGACTATAAGGGAGCTTTAGCAAAGACTACGAGTACGAAGTACGTCATTTTGGCGTGAAAACATTGTCGCGACATCAACAACTAGTAGCCGTCATCAATCTGAAAACGATGTTTTGTTAAAAATTCGTAGTCGCGACTGCGATGTTTTTTAAGGAAAAGAAAGTAGGCATTTTTTTCATTGTGCAAGAACTTAGTTTACAATACTATTTTTGATCTTCCAAGCTTTATTTCAGTACCTTTTTTGAACGCAGATTTACATTTAAAACAAAAATATAACCTGCAAACTTCCATGTATCTGGGACGCAAAGTGAATTATAAAAAAACAATAAATTACTGTAAATATACAATCCATAAAAAGTAAAATAATGAAGATTTTTCTCTCTAAACAGTCCTATACCATCGCTAAATCAGTATTACCAATTCATCAATATTAATATTGACAAATAGAGCCGTAGCTGCTTCTCAAAATGCGGTGTTTTTCACAGTAAAAAGCTCATTCTGTTGTTTACAGCTAAAACAAACATTTGACGACGCGACAACGACTACGAACGTCCTCCTGCCATTCCTTTACAAGGTCAAACTTCGTACTCGTAGTTGTACTCCTGGTAAAGCTCGCTACTAGCTTGCAGATAACACACTACATAACAACATGTATGAATGCCGACTCGCAGTATTGACGGACTATATATCCTTTCGATTTTAATCTGTGCTGCTCCATTGCTACACAAGTGAAGGCAAAACGAGTAGCCAAAGCTTTGTAACTACAATCTTTGCAGCATTTCAACAACTTTTAAGAGCGGTAATTGAAACTAAAACAAAAGAGCAATATTTTACCTTATGAGCCAAACTTTCCTCCATGTCTTGTAGTTCTTTCTGTTTCGTTATGACGTTGACTTTTTGTTGATCGTTCGTTTCCCTAAACAATTGGAATCCAGTTTCGGTGTACGGCAGCAACATGTACTGTTTTACATGTTTGTAGATGTAGATCGTCAAAAGCCATTTGACTCTGACTCTGATGACCACCGCTAAGGTTGTCCTAGCGTCAGCAAACATCAATACAAACAGTCCTTCTCAGGACTATACTAAGCTGGACGATCTACATCTATAAACGTGTAACGATACTCCCAGGTTCAAACCATTTACTTTATGTACGGTTTTCCTATTTTTTATTAAGGGGAGGGGACTGCTAAAAATTTAAATGGGTGAACTGGTAACGACGTGAGAGAAAAATATTCGGTAGTCCTGTCACTGAATTTAGTGTAGAGATTTGAAAATAAACTATCACAGTGCAGATAACACAGAAAAAATTGATAAGATCACACTCGGAAATGGCCATCAGGCAACCCGGGATGTATATGTATAAATATTTCCCTTATCCTTTATTACACTAGCTCCTAAGGTGACATTCAGTCTAGTAAGAATGAAGTATACTTATACCATTACCATACTAGTATCATTTCTAGTACCATACTAAGTACCATACGATTATGGTTACTAGTATTCTTTAACAATATACCATTATCAAAATATACTTCAACCATTAGTAACCGTGCAGTATAAACGGGAGAGTCAAAAAAATTCAAGTTTTTAAACTTTTACTTTAGTTGTTTCACAAGCAAAAAAATTCAACTGTAAGGATGATATCGCAAATACGTCAATGGCGATGGGAAAAAATGGAACAATATGTTTTAACAATAAAAAGAATAACTGTCATTATTCATCAACTCTTTTGCGAAAAAGACATATAGATTTACTTTCTCACCCAAAGATCTAATCTTTGGTATATTCTAGAGGTTTAGAGTATTCTCCATGGGGTATTAAATGTTACAAGCTACGCTAAAATAGTCAATATCCCCACTTACTTTTGCATCATTAGTTTGCTCTCTATTTTTTGAAGTTCACCTAGAATACTGGTCACTTCACCGTCGATTTCTGAAAGTCAGGTTAATGATCATAAGTAATGAGTTTAATAGACAGCCCATACGTCATGCACGGGTGACGTAACGTGTTTAAAATTATCGACTTTTCTCCAATAGCATTCCTAACGATTTGAAAAAATATGTATTTGAGCGTCCGCTCATCAAATACATACAAAAAATACATACGGGAAATTAAATGCATACAAAAATCAACATCGGGATGACAAAATGTGCTAAAAAAATAGGTTTTTTCTCCAGATTTTTTGCAAAATTGGTGTCAGACTCATTCAAAACGTTATCCCAACGATATTATATGCAGACAATGTGACGTATTTGTGTAAAAGGTTTTTTGATCAGGACAGGAATTGTTAGTGTGACAAAATGACGTCTTCAATGGCCTTAAGTTGAGTAGGCTGTGGAAATCATAAATCTTGACAGGTTGCACTTAGTGTTTATCGCTATTGTATGACGGCCCGAAATCAGAGAATATCTTCATACATCAGATATTTACGGGGGGTAAAGCAAATTTATTTAAAAAAATAAAACATTGGCCGAATTCTATTATATAAGGACGCAAAGGATACGCTCCAATTGCTTTCGTATTTCCTGTTTTTGTGATTCGCATGAATCAATCTTCGCTCGAACTTCATGTAACGATCGCTGACATTCCAATCTGGATTTCCTGGAATCGTAGTACCCACCAGTTAAAGCTCCACGACGACTGACTTGATCGCCTGGATGAAAAGTTTATGCAACAAGAAAACAAACGTTGATGTAAAAAAATGGATATAGGTAGTTTGTATAAGTCTTCAGACACTTGTATTTGCAAGTTTATTTTATTAACTTAACAAGCCATATATGACTTGCTTGTTCTATGGCCATTTACGTGCTAATGAAATCGTAACTGTCTTACTCAAAAGCTCTGAAAATCATTTTACGCAAACAGAATTAAAATTATTATTTTCACACCGATTTTATGACCGTCAAAATTAGTGATTTTTCGCACTTCCTGTGAGAACTTTTTTGTCTGCCATGTTTGCTAAATTGACGTCATAACGAGTACACATTCTCATCATGGCAAAGAAATTAGTATTAGCTTGGTGACTTCCGTACTACTTATGACGTAAAATGAGCAAGCATGGCGGCCAGAAAGGTTCGTACACGAGGACGACTTTTAAAGTTGAAAGTTGTCAACTTCCACATAACGTAAATTGGACATAAATACATCAAATTGCTTGCAAACATCAGAATATTTCTTCCAGCAAACAAAAACGTACATGGAAATTCACTTCATAAACACACAAATGTACACATTGATCAAATATCTGCTCGTACAAGGTTCTAAAAACACGAATATTAATTGAGCATTTTATTTCGAGCTTATGACTCAAGAATCACACGAAACCAAAGTAATTTGGGAGAAAGTGTCTCAGTTTGAGGTTCGGTATGGAAAGCAGCAAGCATTTTGTATACGACACATATGCCAATGCAAGTTCCACAAGAAAATTCGCAGGTTAATTTTTTAACTACAAGCAATTCTACGTTTTAAATATACGGACATTTTGTGACTCTTCTGAAATCTTCGGGGAAGTTGAATGTCAATGGCCAGGGTTGGCTCATGACGCAAAGGTTTTGTAAATTCACACATATGGCCAGTAAGTTGAGAATTGGGTACACAGCAACGACAATAAAAGGCTACTTCAATCAAAAGTTGGAAGTACTAGAATTTTCATCTTGTGCTCTTTCATATAACATAACACTATATCATACGTGCATCGCACGGCCGTCAAAAAGCTTCCCAATTTTGCGGCTCGTACCAGGGCCGAGAAGCTTCGAGTTATATGAATCAGTTGCAAAGGATTGCAATTTGCTACAGATGCGGCTAGCAGAGATTTTCTTTATAACCCTTTTACTCCCAGCGTTGCCATACGGCAAGATTGAGAAAACCATCCGAAACTAGAAGGAAAAAAAGTTGGGAAGTAAAGGGTTAACAAACACATGAGTACTTTCATAATAGGGATGTATGCCATTCATTGTACCAAGGTGCGGAATGGAAATTTTGGAAATATTGCAGCATCATTTGTTCGAACGATTTGCTCATACATTCAAAAATTTTGGCCAGTGTTAAACTCATCGCATACGTTGCATTTGCAAACACTTTATTTTATTCCTTTATAATTTCACATAGCTCATTCTGAAACTAGCTGTCATCTTTTAATACTTTGTTTAACCATGCATTCTCCTTCCGAATTGGCAATGTTATTTTCCAAATTCTTTCTCTTACTATCTGTGAGCTAAAGCGCAGGATTACCAAGTTTACGAGAAAACAGGTCTACAGCCACGTCAGATGTCTTGGATAAGTCATTTTCCTGGGTGAACGAAACTTTGTCTGATAATAAAAAGAAAAAGTATACCCAAATGCACTTTCATCATCGATGTCATCTCATCCAACGTCCACACAGGAAACTACTGCAGCTGATAGCATAATCTCATCCACCAATAACTGCCTTCCAAATGACAACGGTGCTGTAAAAGCAGACCACCAAAATTTGCACTAATACTTCACAGAACTCGACAACCCAAGCGATTCTACGACCGATGCTCACAGCTTTTGAAAAGTTCAGTTGAAGCTCCTTCATCTTTGTCATAACTGTTTAATAACCTAGCTCCTTTGGTCTAAAGAGATGCGAACATCATTCACACATTTGGTCGTACTTCATCGTACGGTCAAGGCTTGTCCGCATTTAAGTCGTAGTTGTTCAACTCCGTTAAGGTTTTGAATTGAGAGCATTTACCAAATCCTTTGCCATATCGTTCGTCTGTTTAAACTTGATATTGTTTGCACTGGAAGCCATTGGTTAAGTGCGTTACTCCACTTTTTTGTAATTATGTGTTGATGTAACGATGAATGTATTTTATGAGCTGCCTAAGGTGGCCCGTCCAGTGGGCTCTCGCTCGCCACCCGAGTCAGCTTGCCCCCATGTAATCAGATCCTGACGATAAGCATCATCGGCTGTTACTCTCATACTCTCATGCATTCGCATTAAAACAGCGCATGTTTCAGTCGGAATGAAAAGGAGCAGGCAGTACACATGTATATTTGTAAAATAACAACAATACAACGCATGCGCTGATTGGTCTGTAGCTGCGTCGCATTAACCTGCGAAAACCGATCTGAGCTCAATCACTGGAGCTCGATGAATTATATCGAGTGAAGAGAACTCGCGAATCAATCATGAAAACAGGAAAATTAAAACATTTGTTATAAATTTATCTGTTTCGCATTATTGTTATATCTACAACTTGTTTGATGTGTTTGCACTGGCTTATGCAAAAATTGAGAAGAAGTCTCGAGCAGGTGCAAACCCTCGGCCTTGACCTCATCTGGTCTCGAGTTCTCGCAAATAACTCCTCGGTTGGCAAAAGCCTGACTGTGCAAATACAGTAAATATCTCTAACAGATTTTCATTTTCAAATACGCTACTAACCAAAACTCCCAAGGGGAATTCACATACAGTTGGCTATCATCATTGACATAAAATATTTCAATAAACACGATTATGCAAGCATTATTTTTACCTTCCATTGTGACACAGTCGAGGTTCGCGCTCTTAGAATATTGCGATGCAACATCGATATCTCGACATACTAATGTTTTACCAAACACCGTCAACATCGCTGGGCGAAATTTCTGTTGGAATTTGAGCTCACGCATCATGGGGAACACATCCTACAACATGAATATCACACATGCATGAGATTGGTGTACACATGATAGGAAATACATTCTACAACATGAACATTACATGCATGAGATTGGTGTACGGGCGTCAAATAAAATTAAATGTTTTACAAGGATTTAGGAAATATTCACGAAAAGTTAAAAATCTAGAATAAATTTGGAAGTGACTTTAAGGAAAGTGATTGGCTAGAATGCTGTTTAGCGGACACCAGAGACGCTTACACGCTGAGCGCAGGCTCGCATTGTTATTTTGGAAAAACACAAGTTTGTGATGCGCATGATTATTGGAAGTACATTAAAAAGTTTAAATATAGTTTTACAGATCTGAGATGGGTTATGGTTAGGGTTAGGACTAAGGATACGAATTTTGGAAGACGGAATTAATCCGAGCTGATTCTGAGGTTACAAGCTCAAACTTTGCACTGTTCACGAATGCGCTTAGCTACAAGCATTATCACGTTTTCATGTTTAGTGTAATATGACACTGCGTGTAATATGACACTGCATATAGAGGAAAACCGGTGGAGAGTTTTAACCCTGAAGCTCTGTGTTTTTTTGGCTTTGTAACGACTGAAAAATAAGATGGCAAGTTCTATTGAAATTTGAAAGTTGAAGGTGACGAGGACAATTTTAGCCGTGCAAGGCATTTTTAAAAGACGAATACTTAAATTACAAATTTACAACAAAGTAAGAACAAAGGTATTCATATCTTGAACATATTCATCGATATTGAAGTTGTTCACATAGGAACTGGTTGAAAACTTTGTTTCGCTTTATGACAACAGAGGTACTTTAATTCGCATATTTTGATGACGTACATCTCGTAGAGTTTGATGATACCGTTTTCAACTTACTATTGTTCATCAAAATGTCTTTCTGATTATTTTTCTATGTCGATTTGTTTTGTTTCTTCACTGATATAATAAAGACGTAATTTGAAATTATTATGATATTAGCGATGTGAATAACAAAGTGTCGTTAAATAACTAAATTTGTAGCAATCTTCCATAAACATTGAAGATGAAATTTTGGTAGCAGTAGTAGGATTCTGTAATATTTCTACATTTTTTAAGAAGCAGCAGCATCATATAATCTCCAGTTTGTTCAAAACAATGCAGGTCGACCTTGTATCATCTCAATTTTCTGCCACTATAAAGCCAAGAAGACAAACTTTTTAGGATTAAATATCTTTGCCGGTTGTTCTGTCCCTTTTACAAAAATTTTCCTCGAATCAAAAGTTTGTAGAACGAATAAAAACGCAAAAACTGTGATTTTGTAATATCCGTTCAATGTTTTCTCAAGCGCCATTTTGACAATTGGAATAAAGGTAGGAAGAAAAACACAAAATTTCCCGCTACTTATTGCTCCAGCCCGCTGTATTTTATGCTCAGCAATTAGGCAAATGATTAAGGACAAATGGCAGGCAAGACATAGCTATTTGTATACAGGAAACAACTCTTTCATTATTTCCCTACAGTATTTATGCCACTGAAACATTTAAATACACCAGATGTTACAAAATGCACTTTTCCGACTTCCGTGAAAACACAAATGAATCACAACACACTGAAGTTGCTAAATAAACATAGCCTGAATTCTCTGAAAGTGTGACGAAGAAAATGGTGGTCGAGGTGAGAAAATACCTTTTTATTTCAAAACGGCGGAGACAGTACTCTCAAAAGATTTGGCTTTTCTCCACAGTATTAGTGCACGGTAGATTAACTAATGCAAACTATAGTACAGGTAATATAAAGCGCGTGGTTCTTTATAAATGAACCAAATACTGATGACCATACCTAGATAAACACTCATCATCTGAAGACCAAAATTCATTATGTATAGTGCAAGTGGCAGTAACGTACATTAGGGTTCGTACAATGTTAAAGTAATGAAATTGAGGCACTTTTCAAGGATTTTAAAGGACATATTTTGAAAAATCTTTAAGACGAGGAAGACACAAAAAGCACAACTTAAGTAAGAAAACATTAAAAACAAAATCAAAATTAAAACCAAAGAGCTTTTTCCAATGAATCGAGAGCAAATGGCGTGTTTTCGTATGACTTGAAATCTGCCATGTTAGTACGTTACTTCAAAGTTTTGACATTAAACCTTTAGGACACGACATACTTTCTTGTGCAATTATGATTTAAGAGACTATTTCAACTCCACTTTTAGAAGAGAGTATTGTGATGAAAAAATCGAATTCAAGCACTTTCAAACACATATTGAAGAATTCTAATCTTTTAAGGCCTTGAATTTTTCAGTTTCAATACATGGGCATTCAAGTTTGTACGAGCCCTGATATATATGATGTAAATAAAGCGACTTCGTAAAGAAGAAACAACATGCAGATCTATTTGAAAACTTACGTTGTGAATTGGAAAATCCGTTTCTCTCGTGCTTAATTTGTTGAGTGGCATGAACGTTGCACTTCCGGGCATCTTGCGTCTATTCATTATCTTTAATATATCTGTGGCGATTTTGTCGGAGTCGACCAAAAGATGAAATAACCTGTAACAAATAGTTACATGGAAACGATTAAATGCAGTTTATAATTTGGAAGAGTAAGAGATACAGAAACAAAACACAATTTTATAATTTAAAGTGCCTATATCAGGGTCGAAGAAATAACTTCTTTAGATAGTTAAAAACATTTGTAAGATATTTTTAGGTCGAAAATTTTACAAAAGTTGTCAAAAAATTAGCAACATTTTTCGCAAACAATTTGCAATTATCTCCACGTTATTGAAATATGACGATTGTGCTACAGGCGGATGATTGACAATAAGGGCATTGATACACGCAATAACATATCAAAGGTGTCCTAAATGTAATGCGCTGATTTAAAGAATCATTGTCAACCACAATGCAACGCGCGCCTATTGTTTGTTAAAATTCGTAGTGAATATGATAATTTACTCCATCACACGATGACTTAAAACAGTACCACAGCCAGCCTGCAAGTTTGTTCATACTACATAAATATTCAGGCGTTTACTTACTGTAAAAAAAAACATTTCTAAAACATATATAATGTTTATGCATTCAAAATAAACGACAAAACTTTTATAATAAACATGTTTCGATTAACATTAAGTCATCTTCAGTATGAGAATGAAGTAGAGTATTTACAATGATAAATATATAAATGGATATATGACACGTCTTAACTAATAAACAGTAAAAGCATAAGTTCCGAATACCAAGCTTTTATTTGAATATCAAGTTTTGGTCTTCCAAAACGACTAGCTGACGCGACGCTGCGACTAGCTTAGTAACCTCACAAAGCAGTAGTATTAGACACGTGACTAAAGCGACTGCCTAGTGTATTTCAGGCTTGGGCATGTTTTCAACTCTTGAGCTTGCCATAATTTTGAATAATTATTTTGTTATAATAAAAACCTTTTGAAAAATATTCCCGGTCTTACTTGTTTCCAGCCGTCACTTCGACAGCGGTGTAAAATCGTGGAAGACATGTGAAGTTCTCGATCAGCGGGCCATGGTAACCTTGGATTCCCTCGTCGCGAACAATCGTTTTCACACTTTCGATTCCATTCAATATTGCCTACGGGAAACGAAACCGTTTCGTACCCATGACTTATGATGCTACAAACATATATACTGGAGGGGAGCCGTTTTCGCACTTTCGTTTCCATTCAATATTGCCTACGGGAAGCGAAACCGTTTCGTACCCATGACTTATGATGCTACAAACATATATACTGGAGGGGAGCCGTTTTCGCACTTTCGTTTCCATTCAATATTGCCTACGGGAAGCGAAACCGTTTCGTACCCATGACTTATGATGCTACAAACATATATACTGGTGGGGAGCCGTTTTCGCACTTTCGTTTCCATTCAATATTGCCTACGGGAAGTGAAACCGTTTCGTACCCATGACTTATGATGCTACAAACATATATACTAGAGGGGAGCCGTTTTCGCACTTTCGTTTCCATTCAATATTGCCTACGGGAAACGAAACCGTATCGTACCCATTACTTATGATGCTACAAACATATATCCGAGGAGGGAGCAAAAAGAGCACTGCTACGGAAATTTAGTATAGCTGGTTATAAATATTTTTTGACTGCCTTTTTTCCAAAACTTTGCTTTCTTTTATAAGGGACTCTTTTTGCCAACCCCCCCCCCCTCCGCATTTACAACAATAATGGAGTTAATTGTTGATCTGTTCAAAGTCTATTTATTTTCACCCGCATTGTTACACGTGCGTTAAACATCAATATTTTTTTTAGTTCACTTCCCGAAGTCAAAATTACAAAACTAAGCTTTTTGATATTTACCAATAATAATTTCAATTTCGGTACCCATGCTAAACTGAAATCGTGTTTAAACCATTGAACTTAATATGTAACTGAATGACTGCCTTTATAGAAACATGCGTGCCCTTGTGTGAAGCCAAACACCCACATACACGCGTGTATGGAGGTCATATCCCGCATTTCAGCTTATACAACTTTCTTTTGGCTGTGCCTGGAGAGGCTGGGACTATAGTTACTTTGCTGGCTTCCAATTTTGGCGGGAGGTAGCATTCCATTTACATTCAGTTCAGTGGTTTCGACATACCTAAATTGTTCAGTTACTAATTTATATAGCTATGCCATTTCCTAACGAGGAGGGGTCTGGAGACGACAACCTCTGTTAAACGAACACCTCCATTAAGCGGACACTGATTCCGCATGGGAATTAGCTTAATACAAGGTTGACTGTAAAATTTTTCTGAAATCATTATATTTAATAAATTACATGAAAACACATATGCACAGTAATCTAAACTGGAAAGCAATGCAAACTAATAATTCACACAAAATAAAAATGGTAGCGTTTTTGAGTGTAAATACAAAATCCCATTGTAAAATTGAAGAGAAAAACTCACTTTAAGACAGAAAGCTGTTTTTTCCAAAAACTCAAATAACACAATACAGAAATATGCAAAAGCAATGATTGGTTTTGACACTGTTAAACCTCACCTTACTGACGGAACTGCGCAAAACCCTTTCGCGTCTATATAAATCCTCCTTATACGTTTCAACAGTTTGATCGAGTTCTGCTTCAACTCTCCACAGCTCCCTATATACAACATACAATTTGAACGTCAAATACGCACTCGAAGATTGATTATTCAAGATATATCAACTTCTTATAAAAAATGAAAGGTCAGTTTTGAAAAATTAACGAAACAAAATTCAGGCTGCAACAAGCAAGATAAACCAGAACTTTCACACCAGCATGCAAACAGAAAGCAAATAAGACAAAAACATTGACTTAAGTCCTTCCTCAAGTGATGATACGTGAATACACAATGCCTGCAAGGTAGAATACATTAGCTCGTACTGTATAGTGAATATAGAGTAGAATGACTCCATTGAATTTTTTCGTGCCGCGTGTATCTTATTACGCATGTGATTACCATAGTGGCATCGGGTCAATTTTGAATTTTTTGATATGATAATAAAAGAAAAAACACACTCCAAAAAATATCATCTTGTAAACTCAAGATTCGAGTTATAAAAGCAAGAGACAAGATTTGCTTATCACTTTCCTTGATAATGACTTTGAAATAAAGTCGAAATATTGCTTTAAATCTTGTCTCCTGCTTTTATCACTCGAATCTTGAGTTTACAAGATGATTTTTTTGGGAGTGTGTTTTTTATTTACTTATTTGAAATTGTCGGCTGGAAAAGGATTTTGACATGATAACATGCACAACTTCATAATAATCTTTCAAATAAACAGATTAATGATAACATTGATTCTCTTTATAGACGAAAATAGCCATTAGAAAATGTAAAGGATATCCCCGTTGGAGTTAATGCATGGGAGTAGAGCCGTTAATTGGAGGGTGTGTTTATTTATACATTCAGTAGTAACAGATTTCTTTTGAACGTAGATTGTTCAATTCCTTCAGTGAATTGCTTTCGAAAGAAATGAGTTAGGCACCGGTGAATATATGAATGAAACACCACCGTTCTTGAGACAGCCCTGCATGGGAGGTACAACCTCGACAAAATATTTAAGAAAACTTGATTATTTACTTTCTTTTATTTGTTCGTTCATCTCTTTGTTTAGTCAATGCGTGTTTTTTTTCGCTTGCTTCGTCAATTTCCTTCCTTATTTCGTTGAAATCGTCCTTTATCACCTGGTAAAACAAATATGCTTTATCGATAACTTTTTCCTTAAGACCTTATCATTAAGTGAGTGGAAGTTCAACTCCAAAAGTCTTCCTTGGGCGTTAGCATTTTGGCCGCCATATTTTCTCATTTGACGTCATAAGTACTACGGAAATCGCCAAAACTAATAGTAATTTTTATAGCCATGCTGAAAATGTGTAGTCTCATAAATGACGTAAAATCAGCTAAAAAGTTCGCACGGGAAGCGATGGAAATCGTCACTTTTTACTCACATTCTATTCTTTTTGCATAAAAATGATTTAAAAATATTTTGAGAGCAAGCACTTTTGAATAAGCCAATAAGGGGCCAATTGCATGAACAAGTAGTCCCGTCTAGGCGAATTGACCCGTCTTGTCAAGTTGACTCGCTTCGTAAATGTGTTATATATTATTTTGACAGTTCGATTACATCGAGTTGTTCCACATAGCTGGGATTCCGGTTGTTGCTTGCCGAGTCTCGGGATGAAGATCCCTAGGTAATTGCGTTCCGGCAAGTTAGCTCGGCAAAGCAGGCCAAGAAATTTGATTCACGCGTGCGTTTGTATACTAGATTAAATTGACATAGCCTACATAGCAGAATGCGAAGTATACTTGTCTGTTTGTTCAAACAGCAACTACAAACTGCCAAAATTGAAAGAAAAAATTGTTACCTAGACGTTTGAATGCATGGGATATCAAAATAACAAAAGATTTAAATGGCGCGTTATTAAAATTTAAAACTTACATCAAGTTTAACAAGTCAGTTTAATGCGTATAAGCAATAGCTGTGAAGCAGTTCGTGTGATTATTGCTTACAAATATCGAGATAATACATTTGGTCCTGCAAAGTCAACGAAACAGATGGGCATTTATGCATTTTTACTAAAAATTACTCTCCCAGGAGGTCAACATCTTTCATGTAATTGCAATTTTTTAGCTCGTCTCGGCTGGGCGAGTTGACCTGTTTAAGCGGGACAACTCGCCTCATGTAATCGGCCCCTAAAATAGCGTAAGAAAATTTCACTGCGCTGGCACTTTCACGTGTCCAGCATATGGTGTCCATGAAGTAATAGTAGTACATGGACTAAACCACAACTAATGGTGATCGTATTTACCCGAACTGCTTTCTCTGTGTTTTCCCTCGACGCGTTTAGATGTTTTATGGTTTCTTGGAGTGCGAGAATCTGCGACTCTTTTGTGGAGATGGACTTCGCTAGCGACTTCAGTTCGTTGTTTATCCACTCGTCGCGCTGCTGTTTCGACTGAAACTGATTTGTACGACCTTGTTTCGAAAACAGTTGAGATCGCCTCTGCTCGCACACTTCCATCCTTAAATAACAACAATCGATATTTTTACCAAACAAATACCGATAATTTTCAGGTAAACGGAAAGCAATATAATGAACAGCGTTAAAATTAAAGTCGATCGCATAAAATAGTTGATATGGCAAAATCATATTTACATATTGTGGGAATTTATGAGAAAAACAAATGCCAATATAAGGGTCAGGAATATAACTTCTTAGGATAGTTAACACTGTTTTAAAAGCATTTCCGAAATTTCATAGGTCCAAAATTTATGTTCTTGCGTTTTTCGGGCCACGAAACAGGTGACTTTTTCGTTTGCCCAAAGATTAAAAGAAATAATATAGAATTTCAAAGGGAAATAGTGTCCGAAAACTGTTCTGCTTTCGATGCGCTTTCGTTGATCATTAGAGAGATTTAGCAAACACGACGTATCGTCTAAGACGCCGTGAAAATGGCGTAAAAATTGTGTGATATTCCCATGTATGGTTGGGTCCACACTATATTTACGCCATTTTCATGGCGTCTTAGACGATACGTCGTGTTTGCTAAATCTCTCTATTTTAAAATGTAAGAAGACGATCTATACCTAGTTTTAAATGTAGATTTATAAATAATCACTTGTGAATTGTGTTTGTTCGTCATTTGGATACTGTAGGTCAGTAGTAATAACAGTCGTATACCGTAGACCAATAAACAATAGACAGGATTTTAGCGAAATGTTACGTTTTCTGCGTTTAGTTTATGACAATGTTTCAAAATAGTCGTTAAAGGGGAACTCCACCATCACATAATGTTGGTCTTAAAAGTTCAATTTTTATGCAAAGGTTACTATATTTTGAAATTTTTACATCAGCTATTTTATTTTTGACAAAATCGCGTCTTCAAGTGCGCTATTTGAGCTGTTTTGAGGCTTAGCAGCGTGGGCACAGAAAGCGTCAGCGGAAATTATTTTGACGTCATATCGTCAAACCGATTTGGAGTTGTGTTTACAACAAAGTAAAATAATAACGCACAGCCTAGCACAAAAAACAAAACAATCGCTTATAATGGCTTTTTTGGAAGAACCTCGGCGTAATTCACCAATCGATAGTGAAATGGAAGACAATCCAGCAAACAATATTCTGCCATATCAGTTTGAGCCCGAATGGTCGCTGACGAACACGAAGAAGCTCACCAGTTTGAGGACAACGAAGATCAGGAATTTGTGTATATTGAGGATGAATCTCGGCGCGACAATCTTGAATGGTTAGTAATAAAATGTTATATTATTCTAGACCATTGTTTCGATCTCGAACGAACGTTTGCCGTTTTTGAAGTTGACCACGTCTACACACACATAATACTTCAGATTTCAAAGTTTTTATTGTAAGATACAATCTTTATTGAAATTTTGACATTTACTTTTCAAGATCCTTTCTTTTAACATATTCAGGTGTCAATGTGGTAACTGCCAAATAATGGACAATAATGAGGAATGTTTATGCTGCAAAGAGATTTCCAATATTTGTGACAAAAATGTAGAGGTAGTAGAAAAGAATGAGACCACCGAAGTCCCTTTGTGCATTACACAACATCCTGGTTTTGAGCCTGTTTGTCTTAACAGGTGGGTTTTACAAACAGCTTGGTAAAAGTACAAGCAGCAATATGAGGTAGCATATGATGGGCCCGAAGACAAACTGTACCGCCATATTGCATATAGACAGTTGACAAGATGGTGCTGGGGTATCTTGGGTAGAGAAGTAAGAGTCGTCTTGCCATCATGTTACTCGCATTAGAGAAACATTTCCTCCACCTGGTCCTGCAGAGGAATTTCAATTTGAAAGCTTCCACTATGCTGGTTTTGCTATGTTAATATTTAAGAATGAATGTACAAAAGTTGTCTTCACTGATGCAACATCATATTATATCGGCATGGCAAAACCTATTGCCATAGCTAACTTCACCACTGACTGATGTTCCTTTACAAGTACTTCTTTCCTGGGTGGACATGATTTAGAAATGTTCTTTGGAAGATTCTCGCCATGATGTACAAGTTCAATCTCCTCAGTTTTGCATGCATTGACAACCTCGGCAAGTAGTGTATCAACTTACTGGTATTCTTTTTTTTCTTTCATTGCTTTTACAACCCATTGCTTCTTTGTTTTAGCAAAAATCATTTTGTAACGGTCTTGCCCTTTGTTTGTCCCTGACTTAATGACTGCTTTATCACAGTTAATATTGTTGTTGTGATCTAATGCTGCTAACTGAGTACGGGCTACCATTCCAGGAAATGAAAAATGCTCTCGCTTTGGGCAGTATTTCAGTAAAAGGGAATGGTAAACCTCCAACTCTCCTGTGTGACAAAACTCAGATAGCTTCCACAGGTCTTTTAGAAGCCTCTTGTCACAAATCACCTTCTCTGCAGCAATATATGCTTGTGAAGTAGGAGATAGCCACTTCTTCTGCTTGTTTGTCTTTCTGTTAATTGTTGGTAGCAACTTGATGAAAATATGTGTTCCCTCTTCAGAAATGCTTGTTGTTTGTTAAGGATAGACTTCCATTTTTCCACCAATTCTTCTGCATTCTTGTTACAACTTGCAGAGCACCACCAAAGATGATTAGAAATGGACTTAATCCAATGGGTCAAGTCATCATTTCCCTTAATGTTAGCCTTTGTTAGTTTTTTTGTGACAGATTTAGACAAATGCCACACATCATATTGATGATCAATATGAGGGTGTTTGTTTTTCATAGCACTGGCAATTTTTGTCTCAAATGTGACTTAAAAAAGGGAAAGTATGTACAAATAATTAGGAAACTATAAGTTCATACATTACGTCAAGGAAACTACCCCTAAATTCTATACACGAAAGGCTAATTTTACAATGGTTTTATGTAGGATTATTTCTAACCATAATGAATCTAAATTACACAACCATGTTTTATTATTATTCAATGTTATTCATGGCAATAGACTGGTTTCACATCAGTAGAAACTGTTGTTAAGGTTGAATTCGGAGGACAAGCAAACAAAGCAAACGGCATTACAGCACAGTTTCCACACAAATAAACCTTCATATTTTTTAAAAAATAATATTAATCGATATTTAAATTCTATATGTAGTGCGGAAACTGTGCGATAATGGCCTTTATGGATGTGAAACCGTTTTATTAAAACAGAATACAAATAACCAGCTCAATACTTGCATGTAAGCTATAAAAGTTGCTTGTGTATATACCTATGAATAAAAGATCTGAAGTTTCAAAAAGAAACATTTTGTGATTAGGAGAAGCATTTTAACGCAAGTTTGTTATGGCTGTGCAATGACTTTACATAGAGCTTTGAGCAGCAATTGACGATATGACGTCAAATACAAGCCGCTGACATGTTTCTGCTCCCACGCACCGGATGCCCTAGCTGCAGCATTTCAACTCATTTTTTGTGAAAATATTGAATCAAACAAACAAAAAAATTGCCGCATATTTATTTTCACGGGACTGACAAAGTTTTAAGACCAACACTATGTGAGGGTGGAGTTCCCCTTTAAACTGTAATACCCAGTGTTTCGAAGACTGAAAGGAACAACCAAATCGAGTCACAGGTTTTTCTTTGCAAGAGAGAAAAAGTTGCTGAATCCATGGGTGTAGGATGATCGATGATTGAGGGAATCCATTATGTTAAATAGAATAAAGAGGCGTTCGAATACGTGCACCACCACCCCTCAATTATCGATCTTCTTACGCAGATGGCTGACTCTTTTTGTCTTGGTTTATTCAAGTTTTTCTAAGACACATGTATATATACGAGGAAACGCACTCCAAAAAATATCATCTTGTAAACTCAAGATTCGAGTTAAAACAGCAAGAGACAAGATTTAAAGCAATATTTTGATTTATTTCAAAGTCATTATCAAGATGAGTGATTGTTTACAAGGAAGCGTGATCTTAAATAGTTGTTATAAAGAAATGATGAAAACAGTAAAAAGAAAGAAAGAAGAATATCTTGTAACAACTATTTAAGATCAGGCTTGCTTGTAAATAATCATTTAGTTTGATAATGACTTTGAAATAAAGTCGAAATATTGCATTAAAGCTTGTCTTTTGCTGTTATAATTCGAATCTTGAGTTTACAAGAATTTGCAGGAATGCTCACGATGTTTATTGGAATTTGAAATCACAAATAATTCCACGACACATTACCGTAACGAGCATTCCTCTTCAGTAGATTTCAGCTTATTGAAACGTGGTAACATATTTTCAAGCTCTTCTTGCCCTTTCTCAATTCTTTCCCGAATGTCTTTCAATTCCAACTCGTAATTTTGCTGTTAATAAAAAAGACAACGATGATCGAGAGATGAGAATATCATTTAATTCGATCGTCGGAGCACAAACTCGACAACGCGAAAAAGCTCCTTACATCGTAATACTCGCTAAAATTGCCCAACGCATATACGCATAAGCAATACTAGGCCACGAATGAAGAAACATGCTTGCCATTTCATAAGCTCAACTTTATAATGCATATATTTGTGCTTCTTCTCAGTCAGTGAGAAACATTCATGGACCGGTTGCACGAAGACAGAATAGCGCCATCTCACGGGTAACAATATTTTGAACGCTTCAAAAATCTCTTATAAGTGAAAAATCTATGATTTGCACTGGACAATCAATGAAATCAAATATTGGTTCTGGAAGAACAAAGTTTCATTATCGTCAAAAAAATATAACCACTTTTTTCACGAGTTTCAAATAATTACGATTCAATCGATAATGCAACCCAGGCTTTGTGCAACCGGTCTCCGAAATTAATGTTCAGTAAGTGCATTAGCAAATACTTCCACCAACAATTTCAAACATGAGAAAGGTAGTAGCTTCTTTGAAAAACCTCCTAGCCTTGCACAACGCTATCCATGCTACGTGCAACTGGCAAAAACAATTTTCGTTCCTCATCGAATAATTAATCATCGTTCATAAAAACAAAAAAATTCCAAGGTCTCAGTACACATCAATCGCGTACGCACATCATCATACGCATTAAATATGTGAGCATCAAGCATAAATAAATTTTCTAACCTTGGTAGAACGATACCCTTCTTTAGCATCTTCGAAGTCTTTAATATCTAACTCCAGTTTCGTTTTATTCTGGACAATTTCACTTCTTTCTTCATCAAGCTGCAATTCTTGCTCACCTAGATCGCGTATTTTCTCTTTTAACGTTCGTGCTTTATCAGTTAGTTCCTTTAGGACGAAGGAAAGATATAAAATCAACATCAAATAAAAACATAAGAAGGGAAAAATGTGCACACGGCAATAGATAAAAGTTAGACATAAATAGCATCCAAACGAATTGGCGTAGCCAGCCCATGAATTGGTGCATAAATATCAGTATATCTAAACAGGAGGAAAGCTAGAATGGTAATTTTGGGGAGGGGGAGAGGGAAGGGGAAGGGATGAATATTCTTGTATTCAGCTCCGCCCGACTGATTTGTTTCAAAAGCGTACATAATTTCAAAAGACGTCATTCGGGGAGAGCTGAATATATGAACATTCACCCTTCCCTCCCAATTAGCCTTCTAGCTTCGCCTCTGCATCTAAAGCAAATAGAAAATGAAGAAAAAACGTAACGAGCAGCCATGATAGCAATACGCAAGAGGTGAAAACGATCGCACAGTACTTCTAAAATCTATCGCAGTCAATACTGCAGTTGCACTTTCAAAATGTACCAACAGCTTACGTATTATTAGGTATCATGTAAACGCCAGGGATTGTTGCTATGGAAATGCTATCTGCATAAACAAATTAAAGCTATTAAACAATAAACATGCATTTCTTGCAATAAACTTATGTTTCTTGCTTAAGGGGCTGTTTACATAAGCCCTACAGGGAGAGCTGGCCCTACCAAGCGAAATCTCGCTATTTAGGGCTGGGAATTCCTGTGTGAATTCAGTTGGGCTAGCCCTCTTTGTAGGGCTGAAAATTTAACGTATTTGCATGCAATAAGGCATCGCTTTTGAGCAATCGCGGCAAGAAAAGGCATCAGCATGAGCAAACAAACTAAGAAAGCATAAAAAAATACCAAACGGCGACAACTATATTGGTTTGCTTTCAGCTATTTTGTATTTTAGCGCGGAAATTCGTAGTTCGTACCGAGCTCTTGATGTAGGGCTGGAATTTGCATGTAAAAGAGAGGTAAAATACAGCCCTACAGAGAGGGCTAGCCCTTTCCGTAGGGCTCATGTGAACAGCCCCTAAAAGTAGTGACGAAAAATGAATGTTTAGGTTTTAGCTACATTCATGCATCATTAGAAAAGGACATTCTATCAAAACTTTAACTTCGGTAAGAAAAGAGCAACCCCGGTAGAACATTGCAAAAAGTATCAATGAAAAAGTAAACCTAAAAGGACGTAAAACAGGACACGTTTAAACTACCTCAATTTTGTCCAATGCCTCCGCAACGTCTTGACGTAATTTGGCAGTTAATCTCATCTCATCTTCGCGATTCGTTTCGAGCTTCAAAGAAAGAATCAAACAAAATGTTATGAAACACAGAACGACGCCAATCGAAAATATGTCATCGTGTTACAAGAAAAAAGCTATATACAGAAAGATTCTTAAATATTTACATTGTGTGAAAATTTCTACAGTCAAGAAAGAAACGTCACTTGCTTCAATATCATGAATGAAAGAATTAAAATTTTCATTTTGAAACGTTGGAATCGTCAACCAAATTGATTTCCACGTGAGGCGTGTTTTTGTACAAATGTCATTATATACAAAGAGAAATTACAAAGCAATAAAATAACAGTACCTATCTATATTATAGAGCTAAATAATAGGTTTTATAGTATTTACAAAATTTAAGTTTAAAGTGTTTAAAGTTTTTAGTACTTACAAAGTTTGAGTTTAGTATTTAAAGTCTTTAAAGATATTAGTATTTACAAAGTTTAAGTTTAAACCGCTTATCACGTTTCTGTTGGGCTGCAATTTTTTTGAAAAATTATGGAAAGAAATGAATTGTGCACTGATAGAAAGTTTGCAAATCTGATGAAAGCTACCTGTTCTAACTTAGCTCTCGTTGCCTGAAGCTCCTTTTCGTGAATAGTATACTCTATGCTTCTACGATCTTTATCAAGCGTTTGGTATTGCTTCAATTCGTCCATCTCAACCTGCAATGTGTCCAATCGATCGTCGATGTATGCAAGCAGTTCCTTGATCTTTTCCTTTTTGATTTCTAAAAACATATTAAAAACAAGACGATCACATCGATGTAAACATCAAACTTTGCGAAATTTTTATTGCAATATAGTACATGGATAAGAAATTTCTTTGTCGTATACGAAAAATATAAACTCTTTTTTTACAAGTTTGAAAATTTTTGCTATCCAATGAACGCCATCCAGGCTTCGTGCAACCGGTCCCAGACGGTTAATTTCACAAGATGATCGCTAAGTTTAGTAAAAATTCCATCCCTGACAATTCTATAAAACTGACTAAAGTTTTGCTGTACGTGCATTAGCCTACGTCACACACGCAATATTTAAGAAAAGACCCCCCCTCCCGTGAACGTCACATTCGTTTGAACTGTCACATGAGTCGTACTGCATGCTTTATTAAAAATTATTTCACTTTGTAGTTTCCATTCGCAAACGTCTAATTGGAAAACCAATAGCGAAGTGAGTTATTTACAGCTAGATAAGGTATTCACAATTCACGATATGTTTTAATAGACAACTTGAATTTCTACGTCACATGGGTTAAAGGCCGCGTTGCATTTTGGTCTTAGTAGTAACGCATATGAAAACATTGCAGTATGGCCACAAGCAAAATCCTTGCGAGAAATAAGATTGATCCATATTTTTTTCGATTGACCTCCAGGGAAATTGTAAAAAGAAAGCTCATGATTTGTTTTGTTGTTTGTAAAGTGACCAGGTACACAACATGTAAATTCGTTTTGTTGACGATACATCGTCTAGCGTAGTTTCTCCAAAGAGTTCTCCAAAGAACTAGGGCCTTCAGTCGTACTTCTTGACTCAGAAAAGTGACCAAATAGAGCAGCAGTAAACTCACTTTCGCTACTAAACCCACTTTCGTGATTACTAAGACCAAAATGCAACGCGCGCTTTGTGCTATGTGACGTAATAATGCAAGTTGTCTATTGAGTTTAATAGAAATGTTCACAAATCACTGACATTACGTATGCGAACGTAAAATAAGTTTACTCCAAAATAAACTCCGGATTCTTCCGATAATCTTGACATTCTTCTGCTAAGATAATCACATATTCTCCAGTGATTTCTTATATGTTCAGTCTAGATTACATTATTTATACATGTTAATGTTAGTGTTGACTGACGTTTCGACAACGTTAGCGGTAGTCACCTTCAGAGACAAGTTAGGTTAAAGGCGGTTTACCATTACGGTCGCTTTGCACGCCCGGGCGGTTTTTTAAGTATGCGCATGCGTATAAAAGTTCTTTCTCCACATTTGAATCGTTCGCCCAGCGTTCGCCTAAACGCTGAGGGGTAGCTGACGAGTCGAAGTCACATCGACTTTCATCGCGAACCATGCGGCGAACAGCAAAAACAACATGGCGGCTATGGAGGAAGAGATTATGCAGCAAGTGAATCAAGACAAAAACTTGAGTCACTTGCATGTTATATTACCAGAAAATATCGAGGATGACGATAGTATGGATGAACTTTTGATCGAAGAGGTCAGAAACCACGGAATTCTCTGGAATACATCATTACGTGATTATAAACGTCGAACAGTGAACACTATCAAGTACATGTTTGTGGATGAAGTTCGTCCAGGTTCTGACAAGGACTGTTGGTATTGATGTAGACTGCTGTTTCGACAACTTTAGCGGTAGTCATCTTCAGAGTCAAGCGACTTCACTCACACTGTTACGAAACTCCCGGGTTCAAACCATTTACCTTATTAGTATCAAGTACCATATGCTATGTCAAATTTAATCAGCTAACTGAGACTAGTAAACTGTAAAAAATTTGGCCGCTCAACAAGCCTTTCTTGCAAGTAAGTATCCGTCGACGACCGTTATTTTGCTTGTATTTCGTGTCGAAAGGGTCTCTACCGAATATGATAGAAAATTTACAAAGAATTATGTCAGAACAGAGTTTGAAGCCGTTCTTGTGAAATTAAAGCACTAATTTATGCGAATATAACGTAAGCGCGGGGGGAGCAAGCTTTTCTTCTATATGGTATGAAACAATTACCAATATGACAATAATGACAAATATGTTTTATCAATATGCTGTACAGATGGCTAGAGTATAACTTTCCAATTTACTATCATACATCTAGGTCGTATACTCAATTGGCGTAAGACGATAGTAAGGTGAAAAGCAGCCTAAAATCACATTATTGTTAGCACTTAATGCGGTGTATCACATTGATGATGTGAACCGTATTCACTGTTAATGCTCACCAGTCTCATTCAATATGCGTTGGCTTTCTTCCTTACGCTCGTCATAAACACGTGTCCCAGCAACTTCACGAAGCAGCTTTAGTCTTTCGTAATCTTTAGCCGTAGCCAATTGATTGATCTACAAAAAATCGTAGACCATCTTACAGGCGTTTTTTCCTGCTTTTTTAAGCTGTACTACGTTAAATGCACACGGGCAGTCGATCAAAATTTAAGGCGATTTGGCAATTCATAACAAATAATTTTCTTAATATCCTAACTATCGCGTTTCTTGAACTAAAGTTGAAACAGGAGCCACAGTCGAGGAATTTGCTAATTGAAAATTGCTGAAATGCAATTTTAGCAAAAGAAGATTTGAGTTGCCACTAAATATGACGTTAAGATAATAAACGAAAAAGAAACAAAAATAAAATAAAAATAAGTAAACATGCACTGAGCAAGAATCGTTCGCTTTTTAATATAAACAATGTCTACAGCAACAAATACATAAAACAAAAAAAATCTAGCAAAATTAAAACAACTCTTTTCTTTATAAATACTAGTAAGATCTACTAAAACAATTTGTTTGCTCGCTCTCCATTTCCATAATGGGAATTTTATTGAGCTCACAACACTAGAAAGGGCGGGAGGAGCAGTAACGCCCCCCTCCCATAGTAATCAAACGTACTGATGTCGAGATTTGACTCATTTGCCGTTGCCCCCGTTCGTTAGTGACCACGCACGGATATCCTCATACCTAATATGGCATATTTTGGTTGAAAATGTAAGCGGAGTTGCACAGGCTCATGTTTGGAAAACGTTTTGTCCAGTTTTCTCCCTTCCGGATTTCATTTTGAAACTTCAAAAACTCCGAGACGACATTTCACAAAAGTTCATACGCTTTTTATTGTGTTTTCCAACATGCCTATATATTGTGCACAAATAAAGAAAACATTTCACTTCACCGGTAAGTAAAAACATCTTTAGTACAGTATATTTAACAATTTTACACTGTTCTTGTCGTTTATATGACGCCATTTATGTGTTTAAATTGTACCTATTTTTCTGATATCGTTCATACTATTTTTAAATGTTATTTAGTTTTCCTAATGCAGCAAAGAAGCCAGCTTTGTTCCAGCAGTGGGTAATAAATATCTGGGAGAATTTAATACCCATTGTTGCTAAGTTGACCCCAGATAATTCGAGTAGAGTTTGTTCCGACCATTTTGTCGAAAATGTTTTAAGAAGAGCTGGTAGTAAAATGCTGTTGAAGTACAATGCAATTCCAACAATACTAAAAAATGTTGGGGTATGTGCAATATTATTCATTAAATAAAATAGCCTCCAAATTTTTGTTTTTAAACTGAATTGTTTCTTTTATAGACAATGAATGAAGTTGATGGGGGTAAAGGACACTGATGGTAATGTAAAAATGTTAGTGAGCATACTATGAATGAAGCATGTATTGAATCATGTATATTAATTAAGGAAGTGCCATGTGAAGAAATTATAGTGATTTTATCGAACTCTGAGTGGTTCGATTATTTTGTCATTGCCCTCAAATTAACTATAAAACACACAAGCAAAGACGAATATTTAAATGACAAAATAATTGATACACTCAAAGTTTGAAAAAAGTCACCTCGTGATAAAGGATTATAGTTCGAGTAATGACTTCCGTTTTCGATAATCCATGCAAACTCTATTCATAAAAGCTATAAACACTTAAAGCAAGCAATTAATGAAATCATGTCCTATAAATCGTCAAATACGTAGACAGACTCATACGTATAACGTAAGCCAACTAAAGTGACTAAAGTGCATGGAAATATGGCATTTATAGATAGTGGTATGAAAGAAAATGATGAAACAACTTCTAAAGATCTCATAAAAAAGATTTTCGTGAAGTATGAAATCAAAGTACCAGAACAAACAGTAACATGACTTGACTCGATAGCATCGAATTGCGACTCAATCGCGAGTCACTTGCGAGCGTAGAGTTGAGATTGAGCGAGTGAAAATGGATCCCATCCAACTACCAAAAGCTAACTTTTTTACGAATTATTTCGCTCTGTATTAACAAAAAACATGCAACACGCATGTGCATTAACAAAACAATACATCCGCGCGAACAAATTCGCCTTGTGGAGAACACCATTGACTCGCGATGCAGTTGCGAGTGACTCTCGAGTATGAGAAGTTTGCGAGTGAATCGAAGTATCTCGTAAAATTATTTCGTACTTGAAATATACGAAAGCCTTCTTTACGAAGGCAAATAACTTCAAGTTTTAGCATGGCAATCAAGCGAGCCATCAGTACCAGTATCTACGTGTGTAACTATGTATTGGACACACAATTTCATTTCGTGGACCAATTGATAATTGTGAATCACACCATGTCATTCATTTTTGTCGGCATCCGCATTGTCTACTCGAAAAACATTTCTACTCGAAAGTGACTCGCTACTGTTCTAGCACGTGGTGTTATGTAGTTGCTTTCTATTAAATGTCTATGGCCTTTATAAATGGAGTTTGTATCGAAAACGCCAGGTCATTGAAGTTCTTTCATAACCAAATTCAAAAGATTATACGTACACTCATCGCATATAGCGACATTTCTTAAATATTTGGCTTTAAAAAATTTCGTTGTTTGAATGCATTCTATCCTATATTAGTCCAGGCGGTGAGTGAGGTAGGTATCACCTAAGCGGGTAATTTACGGGAGTAGGCCTGTCTAGACCAGTTTTTGGCGTAGAACACGAATCCGCATGTTATTCAGTCCGACGAGGCTGCTTCTAAGAGTTATTTCCAGATATTGCGCAATTCAGCCTCATTTTCATGCAAAATCAAACGTTTTTAAGATTTAGCTATTATTATTAATAAAAACACAGACGTGATACCTACCTATTAATAATAATAAAAAGACGTATACTGGACCAGTTTTAGAATTAGAAGTGCAGTATAATTCAAATGGCAAGACACCCCCTCAATATAGCCTAGTTTTCATGCAAACATATTGTAATTTGATATAAATCTTAACATTAAATGTAAATCAACACTACTAGTTTTGATGTAGTTTCTTAAATAATTCAAATCACATACAGTACCTATAGCTGTATCATTCGTCGTCGTCTGAACTGCAGCTGTCTTCTTGGTCATCACTTTCCTCATCGCTTTCCTCATCACGTTCGACAAGTAGCTCGGCAACGTCGTCAGGATATGCTTCCGCGATCCAATCAATGTTCAAGTTCGGGAGCCAACCATGGAACTGGGGATCCTCCAATGCCATAATTGGATGCTGTGCTTTTTTCCAAAGCCTGACCACATAGTTAGCTCTCGTCACGTGCTTTCGTAGGCTGCTGCTACATGGTGGTCAACTACTTTACGCTCTTTGTTCATCTTTTTCCAGAAAATAGCTGACCTTGCCTCGTTAACGTGTTCGATTTTCTTCTCTCCATACAAGAAGCATACAAATCTTTCCATGGCAATAAACATCTCCTCAGGAACATGCATTTCCATTCCCAACCGGCAAAAAATGTCCAAGAACTCTGGATCTTTGCTCACTTGTTTCCAACAGAAAGGCTTGCCTTTACGCAGAAAGCTTGCCACATAATCATTTCCGGTAAATGCATGGAGGCCAACTAATGCTTTCGTTTGTTGATTAGTTAGACTACACACGTTCAAGTGAAGGAGCTTTCGCGTCTTTCCAGAACCGTTGTCGATGTAGATTGCCACATTGCTGATTGGCTCCATTCCAAGTAAAATTATGGGAATATCGATGTCGCCGGAACTTGATCGTACCACACAGGCTATTTGTTGACCATCGCTATGGTAGGATGCATGCTGAATCAAATACACGATCTTAGTATCAGCCTCTTCGTGGTCTGTTGCTAGTTCTCTTACACAAGAAGAACCGTTTTCTGTTATATTGAGGCAGGCGTTCCCCCTAGCGAAATATACAACACGTTGTCCTAGTTGGTTCCTATTTTGAACCCACACTTCTTCGATAAGCTCAAAAAGTCGCTCCTTGTTGTCTCTGTTACCAAGGAACTTCTTGAAATCAGCTGGTACGCGCAGATTCGCACTAATAATAATAAACTTGTCGCCATCACCTCGAAGGTCTCGTTCACTGTTCTTTATCGAACGATCCCTGTACGTATCACATGCAACGTAAACGATGTTATACCGCATTGGAAGATCTGACAACAGTCGTAAAGCAACATCTTTAAACGTGTTCGGTACCTTCACCATACTTCGAATAATAGCTGCGATATCTAGAATATAGATTCTATGAGCATATTGATCGTCGGGAAATTGCGCGTAGTTTTCAATCAATGATCGTAACGCTGCATCGAACAACATGCTTTTAGCTCTCTTTCTCCTTATGCCATCGCATGTTGCCATGGATAGTGGGACTGGTGCAAGGGGGTAACACAGAGCTTTGTCGATGTTGATCGCAGCATTCTGTTGTTGTGACTTGGCAGCAAGAATACCAAGAATGTCCCGCTGAACAGTTATTTCCTTAGATTTACTTTTCGTCGAAACTTTTAGCTTCTTACTTACGTCCGTAAAACTCTTCCATTCCACTCGTTTTATGGGACTGAAATAAAGGCTTTCATTTGCACTTTCTGAGTTTAGTCGCTCAAAGAATGTGTCTCTCGACGTGCAGTTCGTGTAGCCTTTCGATTAGATCCAAGTAGCTCATCCAGAATTGTGCAGTTTTCCCGTGGTGGCCCTGAAGACATTCCATCTTTTTCTTTATGTATTCTTCTTCGTACGCTCTGAATGGTCTTTGCGAAATAATATCTTTGCAATCCACGTCTGTTACGATCTCCTTAATCATTGTTTCCAATTCATCTGGACAACTACTGACTAGAGCTTCGCAAAACAGTCTCTCAATTGCCTCCGCAAAACATTCATGAATCCTCCAACTCCGATTGTAATGTTTCCCAGACAAAACACCTTTGATTCCTCCGGAGGTACAGAGTCCTGCTTGGTGCACAACTTCTTCGAAACCAGCATCTTGCGTTTCAGCATTAAATGAACTTGGCAAATTCTCAATTTGTTCTTTGTGAATATATTCACCACCCAAAGAAAGGCGAGCACCTTTACTTTCATTAATTTTTTATAAGTATCTTCATTC